TATCTATCTATCTATCTATCTATCTATCTATCTATCTATCTATCTATAAGGATATTTTTCTTTACATTCTCTTGGTCCAGTCAAACACAGAAATATGACTTTTGTGGCATGTAAGTGCAGTGGACAGGAGTGGGAATACAGGAAGTAATATCTGAATAAAAGTAAAAAATAACTGTCTCTTGCTGAACACCACCAATACCTCGGAGCTCGTGGTAGTTTTCATTAGATTTAAAACACCATGGCAATCTGCCTGCGTTGACTCAGAACCACTTCTTGAGAGCACACAGGTCCTTCAGTGCCTGATTAAATATGCTGCATATGTTCTATCAAGCCGTCATTTAAACTGTGCTGTTTCTCCAATAAGGCAAAAGCTTTGGGTTTTTTGGGAAAACTAACGCACCAAGCCAGATCCGTGATAGCCAAGAGGCCGGACCCTGTCAGATGGTGGTACGGTGGAGCAGCAGATGAGGAGGAAGCTGTAAACTGTGTGGGAATAAATGCCACATCCACAACACCCTGTCAGACAGAGACGCGGATGCAGTGAGAGAGTCATCTTTCAGTTCTGTTGAGTATAGGCATGGAAATTAAACAGGCAGAACAAAAGATAGACATGCAAACAAACAAATTCACAACATTGGAAAATACCAACACAAACATGAGTTGAGTTGTGATTAAGGGCTGGGGACCCTGTTAATAAGACAACGATACAGGTAATCTCCTTACAGATTGTTCTACTTTAGCAGCAGTATCCAAAGTCTACTAGTTTAGGATGGATAGTTTGGGATCTTGCTTTCTTTTCCCATATCCTGCTTGTTCTTTCTCTGTGTCATACATATTTAATCAATTATCTTTCCCATTTATAGTAATGGAACATATAATAAGTGAAGTATTTTTTAGTTTTTGAGGTATGGGTTGGCCAAGCACCACTGAAAAACTACCTAATAGCCGGCCAGGCCAGATTAGTCTGTGTAGAACTACCAAACATAGCTAATCTTGTTAATCGTCCTTCAGCAGAGGACAGACAGGTTGGCTTGTAACCAAGTAAAAGAAACCAACAGATTGCTCCGAAGCATCATATTGATCCAACCGTCCCTCTTCAGTGCATACAAGGCATATGTGAAAAGAAAAAAAACTCCCCTTGAACAGGGAGAAATCTCTCTTAAGTGAGTGACCATACATCTTGCAGCCAAGGAACAGGAGCCTTCCAGGTGGGTTACCAAATGTCTAGCAATGGAGAAACTTGAGTCTTTCTGGTGGGCAGCTGGACATCAGGTGGAGCAGGAACCTAAAGAAAGCAAGAACAGGCAGGATAGATTGGAACCCACCAGGACTCACTTGAACACAGGAGTGGAAACAGGCAGCAAACCCCCAAGGGCTAAAAACAAAACACATAATGACTAAAGAATAATCTGGCACTGAACAAATGAAAATCCTTTCCTCACTGTGTTCCCTGTATTTCTCTTTCCCTGCAGGTTTCCTGGGGAGGGCGGGGGTGGGGGGTGGGTTTTGGGGTGAGGTTTGATGGTATGGGGTTTGCCATCTTGGCTCTCCTTTCCCTAAAAACTCCAGGGTGTTGGGATGGATGACCACCTTCATTAGTTCTGGTTCAACTGGGGGTATTTGTTCTTTCAACTTTTGCCTTGCACACACTTATCAGAATCAGAATCAGAAATACTTTAATAAGCCCAGAGGGAAATTATTTTTGTTACTAACTCTAGCATATACAACATATACATATATACATGTCTTTACATATGTACACATATATATATACAAAATATAAATAAACATATACATATGTAAATGTTTATATGCATGCATGCACATCTGAATGGAGTCCTGTGTCATTTCATTCGTATTTCAGTTGCTCTTAAAAATCTGCACCAGTGTACTCAGCCAGCAAATAGAAAACTAACACTGGTAATAGTAGGGGAAGTGTTTGTGCAAATCACTTCTACTTTCACAGGAACAAACAACACACACAAAAAAATACTTGTTCTATTTGTTAAGGTTTATTATCATGATCTCCTCCACCATTGCAATGTTTGCTGTTGTCTAAAATGAACAGAGGAACTTGGAAGTTAACTCTGAACCCTGCATTTACATGCCAATGTAAAGCATGTATGGCATTTTGTTGTCAGTTATGTTTGACAATGTTTAAAGCGGCTGCATGTGTTCACACATATAAAGTGAGAATCAGTTAATCCCTAGGGGGTAGGTCAGGGATTAGTGGGGATAAAGTAACATGAAATATGATTGGGGATTAAAATGGAAAATACACATCTTTATGTAAATTTTTCTGTATTTCAATGGATAATATTGTGCATATTTCAAAACAAAAACAAGTTTGTGGATATCAATTCTACCTGGAAAAAAATCTGTTAGGAATTATACATTAAGTCACAATGATTATAAGAGTAGCAGAATGAAAATACAAATGTGCAAAACCAGCATTTTAATTCATATTGTTGTACACCATGTTTTTCACAACGCCAATAAAAACAAACAAACATATATGTCAATTGTAAAATAGTTGCAGATTATGGAAAACATTTAAAAGATACAGGAATTAAAGTCCAACACAAAATTCCTGGTTTAGTTTATCTTAAATTATAATGTCGTTGGTTAGTTTTTTAACACAATGTCCCTAAGATGAAAAAAAAATACATTTAAATGTATGTATAATGTGAATGCATTTTCTTGAGGCATTATGGAAAAAGCGGAATCATTTAAAAATATCGCGAGATTACCTGTTAGTACCGAATGGGAGATGAGACAATACGGAAAGTCCCGAACTACCTACATGCTGTATCGACTCCCCCCCCCTCCCCTCCTTTTTCAACATGGCTGCTGTGTCTACTCTCAAGTAACGCACAGATTGGTGACTGAATAATTCTACCTTTCAGTGCCTCTTATTAATTCGCATACATCATCTTCGTTCGGATGCAAATCACATCCACCACCTTGATCTGTTTCCCCAGGTTTCATAAAGTGGAATAATCTCAATAAATATCTCTCGCCTTTGGGCCTTTTTAAACCTTCAAAACAACTACCAGCCACCAACAGTTCCTTTTGCAATGGTTTGAGTAGCACTCTGCAATCTTCTTCATGAACAATGTGTGAGAACTGCGCCGAGCTGATTGAGGTTTTAAATGAAAGTAAGTAGACGATTTTTTACATTCCCATTACATAAAGCTGCTACTTGATGTTAGCATCGCCGCCCATTGAAGCTTAATGAAAACATGTTAGCTCAGTGTCAAGCTAAATATAACTTGTCTTTTTATTATTTATTGTTCTTAGTTGCCTCTTCATGCAAGGGTCCAAACATAAACTACCAAGATGTCGTTGTGGCTGTATGTTTTGCAGGCGACGACTTTTAGGCTTTCGTGTTGGTCTGTGTTTTATATAAATTATTGTAACACATTTCCAGACAGCTTCAGGCCTTACATTAAACACACCTCACAGAAACCTAGCCTCGAAATAGACTTGAAATTCGCAGTATTTTCTCCAGTCCTGTGTATGACATTCTTCTCGTTAGCTAAAAATGGTTAAGCTCTGCTTAGTGGTGGACACAGAAAAGATCGTCAAATATACCGATGGTTTTTAAAACGAGTGTTGTAGGGTTTTGGAAGTTAGCAAGCTAAGTTAGCTAGTTGAGCTAATGAGCAAGCTGACTTTGTTTGATGTGTTTGTCAGGTCAATCCGTCCGCTTTTAACTCAGCTGACACGCGTTGTTTGAGCTATTTTCACAGTTTAAAATGGCCTGCTAAACGCTAAATAATATTCCCCTGCCTTATTTCACTGACATCAAGGCATTGAAGAAAAAAATGCTTTGTGTGAAATCGTTACTGAAGCTAGCAACAACTAAGCTAACATAGAAAATGTATGACTGCGTGCAGGTTAATATTTTGTAAGCATAGCTTTGTGCTTTGGGTGTTTGCACACATTTTCCGTCAGATGTCTTTTACACCATTGCCTCATTGTTCCTTAGTTTTGATTATAAATCTGTTCCTATGATATAACTAAATCCAGTTTCAAACCAGAAATTGCAAGTACATAATTGCTTTTATAGCTAAAACTGGTATTTAGTCAATGCGCGATAATCAAGTCGTGCTGCACTGTATGAAAGTAAGAAACAAACCACATTAGTTGTTTTAAATAGTGAGATACATCTGGATTTCCCTTTATTTTTTGCGAAACACATTCCTTTTGGAAAAAAAACGTCTTTGAGACTGTTGGAAATGGTTATACTGCCCTCTACCATAGTGCTGCCAAACAAAGTAAATAAAACTCAAGCTTGGTTCCTCTGCTTGTCAGTTGAACATTCTGAATCCCAGAGGCTTTGGGACTGTGTTTGTCTGTATAGATGAGTGTGCCTATGTAGCAGTAGTTGTGACATATCGTTTTTAGCAGGAAAAATGATTTTTTGTTGTTGTATGGACTTAAATAATAAGATCTCCCCCCCAATTACTTGCCGGTTTTGTGCTACAGTTGATTTATAAACTGTGTTTGCATGAATGTCATGAATCCAATGTACACAAATGACAATTGTTTTAAAATATTTACTTTAAAAAGAGAAAAGCTTGGAAAAATGCATAAATAGGCTATTTTGGACTGTGTGCTCACTCCACTGTTGCTTACTGTTGTTGGTATTTGTGTCAAAAGCTTGATGATATAGTTTATTTAAAAAAATCTATCTTCTTTTTTTGTTTGTGATGGAGTATCTCACCGCAATTAGGCATGCAATGCATTTTGTGTATGATTTGTTTGGTGATGGTGCCTGGCTTGAATTTGCCAGACATGCCAGATGTACTGGATAGTTAATAGTTTCTGTGCAAGTTAAGGAAATGAAAAACTGTTAAGAATCCAGATCTCAAATGAAAATGAGCTAATCATATTATTTAACTACAATTTCATTAAGCATATGGGCAAATGGTGGAACTGATGTTGAGCTGATCTCGATTTTTGTGGTGTAAATTTGGACAATTGTGTTTTTACACGATTGTTTAAAACTGCTGGTGTTGACAACTGCTAAATCAATCAGGATTTCAGGATGAGCTAAAGCCTCTGTTTCATGCAGATTCATTCTCCAGAGACCTACTCTAATATTTTATGTTTTGTTCTCTCAGTTTCAGATGCAGATGGAAGTGAAGTTGGTTTCCAACTAAAGAAAGAACATGCCCTGCGGGTATTGGGCTACATCAGCTCCTGGACTCAGAGGTCAGTGTTGCCTTGGAAACCAACTTACACAACGGTTCTGAATGTGCCTTTCTTGATCTTTTCTTTTTAAAAGTTGAACGTCAACTCACCTTTTCACATTCTTATGGAGATTAAAAACAAAACAAACGGCAAGTTTAACCTATATGGTCTAACAGTATGTAAATGTGAAGAACAGACACATTTTTCTGTGGTATTTTCTGAGGTTGAGGTGTAATACCTGTGTATTTATCATAGGGTTGCATAATAGAAGAATGTGAATTATGTGTTATGGTCAAAGTTGTTATATTTAAATACTAATACATTATATTAGCTTCCTATACTAAACCCAGTATTGCTTCTACTGACAAGCAAGCTCCACAAACATTTAAAAACAAAAGCAAACTACTATGGTAAAGATAAGAATTTAGTCACAAGTATGTTCATTTTGATAAACACAAGCAACGTAAAACAAACAGTAAACGCTCAAAGTTTTTTAGATTTGTATTTTGAAATAGATAATAATGTTAAAGAGAATGACTGTTCTTGAAGAAGAATGCAATTTTTAAGCTCTTTAGCTTTCCAAGTTTTTGTCCAGTTAATATTGATTTGTTTTAAAAACATAATGATCTATACCTTATGTAAAAAGTTTTCTAACCAAATTGATTGAAATTGTGGTTGTGATTATTTCAGTACCGCCACCAAATGTCTGTGCTTCTCTCTTGTGTTTCAAATAAGTATCTTCAACAAAGAAAAGAAAATGTTTCACCCTGATTGGAGACAGAAGCTCTCACACAATGTGTGTGCATGCTTTTCCTGGCTTTGTCATATACTCTCCTCAAGGGGAAAAAAAAACAACTGAACTCTGAATTGATTTTAAATGAAAGCTTTCTATGGCTTAGCCTATTATAAAGAACTTCAGAGGAAACGGTTGTCTTTCACAGCATTCGTTTGGTGTGCCACTAATATCGCATGACCTCGTCAGATGCTCAAATTTCATTACACCTGCCCAAAGAGTGTTTTGATGTGCTTTTCCTTAATGCAATACTGTTTGCTTTTTACGTTTTTGTAAAAAAGCTCTTGCTTGAGAGCAAGGTAAAGTTTTTTTTTTCTTTTCCGTTGTCTATTAGCTGCAATTCTTCACATTTGGAAGTTTAACTTAGCCTTGATCCAGCAAAACCAACCCTACAGCTATCAATCCCACCGTAAAAAGCCAACATTTGTGTGGCCTCTTGTCATTAGTTCAAATTGAAACTGCCTAAACCTCAGCGCATGACTCACTTTGCTTCTTTTTAATTTAAATTGCTTTGCTGCCAGCAGGTCCACCAGGATAAACTTTAGATAGAGATGCTCATGATTGCCACACCTTTTACAAGATGTGCAAATCTGCCCATGAATTTTCCTGTAAGTAAAAACCCATACTGTGAGTTATACTGGAGTTATACTGGACACTAGTATGGGGCCCATGTTTTTTTTTAGCACATCAGTCACTTTGGCATGAGTTATTCACCCCTAACTAAAGCGCTTTGGGGGAATTTGTATTGTTTATCCTTTCTGGGTGTGATGCAACAAGGTTTAATCATCCGGTTTAGGGAATTTTGCGCTGTCTTTTTTGGTAAATTCTCCTGAGGGCTGTCAGGTCAGATGGGGACTGTTGGTAAGCAGCCGTTTTCAGGTCTCTCCAGTGACGTTCAATAGGGCTCAAGTTTGTTGTCTGGCTAGGGAACAACTTTTCCCTTAACCTATACCAAACCCCCAGTGCAAGCTGTTGAAAAACACCCATACAACATGCAGGTCCACCACTGTTTTTCACGACTGGGATGGTATTGTGGAGGCTTTGTAATATTCCCGATGTCCTCCAGACATTAGGTTTAAAAATAAGCTTTCCTGTTAGACATGTTTTGTTTTTTTAATGGTTATTCCTTTAAATAACTTCTGCAGAAATGTCCAAAATTCTGCTTTTTAATTTTAATTTTAATTTCTTTATTGTATTTTAATTCTACTTCTTTAAGGGAATACTGAATGGAAAAAACCCAAAAAGTGAAAAGTCTGAATACTCTCTGAGTGCACTATACATTGATAACTTGCTGTAAACTTGACAAGGAGCAGATGAAATCCTTGCACTGCGTGTCTTTTTTTGTGCGGTTTCGTATGGATTCTTTTGAGGTCAAGGCTTTCTCTTCCTAGAAAGACGAGAGCATGTAGTCAATGTAACATTTTCACAGAGCACTGTAAGCCTACAAAAATTCCAGCAGCTGATGTCTCATGAACTTTACCATGGTGGTCATACTACAGCTCTTCCACTGGGATGTGCACGTGGATCCGCATCCAGTGCCCCACGTTTTATTACCCTGCTTTATCACGACCCTGCAGGGAAGAAATAAGTAGAACTGAGGTTAATCTCATTAAAAGGAATCTATTTTTTTTGCTTTAGCATCACCTAAGTGAGTGGATGTGATTTCTTTGCTGCCTTCACATTGTGCATGTACTTAATTTTTTTGCTCCCAGGCGCCACAAATGTTAATTTCTGGCCAAACATAACTTTTGTTCCAGAGATTGAGTTCACGCTTGCTTATGAAAGTAGCTGGAGTTTATTTCCTGCCATTAGCCTCAGAGGAGCGCTGGTGTTTACTCTCCAAATTTATTTGGACAGCACCCCGTGTTTGTGTCCTGAGCAAGACCACATGTTGGCAGCTTATGTTTAAACAGTTTATTGGCCACTGGATAGAATGACCCATTTCTCAGGGTTACACTAACACAGCCGCTACTAGAGACCTCTTAATCCCATAGGCCCTATTCAAAAGGTGGTCTATCCTAGATGTTAGTGCAGCCTCACCTCATACTTATACTTGGTTTTACAAATTGGCTCATGCCTGTCTGGCTACCCAGGAGTCCCAATTTCTTCTTTAAGCGAGATCCGGAATGAAAACTAATGAAAGAGACTAATTTGCCGATTAGCAAGAGATAGCGTTGCATTACCAGCTGTGCTTTTGGGGCAAGTTTTAAGCTTGTTTTTTAATTACGGTTGTTTGAGCTTGTTTTTTAATTACGGTCGAGGGTTCAGGCCCCTCCCCCACAAAGACACCGCCAGGTTTGGCCAATCAAATGTGAAATGGTCAGAGGTTTTAAAGGTGTCACTTCTCAATTATCTGATTAATCTAATTGAAGGAAAGTGCTCGGTTTGTTCCTTTAAGAAAAAAACAAACAATTTCCCGTCTCTTCTTTGTCCTCAGGCAATGCCTCTGCTGTTTCAAGGAGTACAAGCATCTGGAGGTCTTTAATCAGCTGGTCTACGCCCTCATAAACCTGGTCATTGCTCAGATAAGCAGCCTGAGAGACAGACTCTGCAATGCCAAGGATCCAGCGCACAGGGGACACGTCCCCGGGGTGGACGGGACGGATTTCAAATGGGGCAGAGACGAATCCGGGCCCTGCACCGTCCTCCAGCCGTCCTCGCCCGGAGAGGACGAACCCGTCAACGTGGAGAGAGACTCGGCTGAGGAGGACGTATACACGCCAGACCTGAGCAACAAGAACAAGCCTCAGGATCAGGGGCCCAATCAGCCGGTCAAAGGCCAAGGGGAAGCGCGAGGACCCTCCAGCGATGGCGGCAACGAGTCCGGAGAAGGAGACGATGGCACCGGAGAGGGCAGCGACAGCAGCGTCGACAGCCAGGATTCCTTTAGCTCCTGGAGCACAGAGGAGAGGGAGAAGCTGATGCTGTGTGCGGCCAAGATTTTCCAAATCCAGTTTCCCCTCTACACAGCCTATAAACACAACACACACCCCACCATAGAGGTAAGAAGTAGCTATATTGTCTTGGTGTTGATGTGCGAGTGTGCTTGGGCTGTCATAGGAGGCTCTATAGGCTCTATACCCATCATCGGTAATCTCACAAATAGTCCAAACTATAGAGCCACCGGGGCAGGTGAAGGGAAAGGAACCAGATAGTGATGTCTAGGAGGCTTTTCTCCCTACATACATCACATTCCGCCCAGCCACTGGCACACATCTGCTGGGATAAATAGGAAAATGACTCTGGTGGCGATAGACACCCATGCACAACAAAAAACCTCCACTTTTTGCCCTGGGGGAAGGTGGCAGAGATAAGGTCCCTGCACCTTTTTTCTCTTTCCATACACCTCCAGCATGCAAACCAGTGGGACCACTATCAAACAAGAGTGTTTTGTTGCTTAATGTCGAATATAAAGGCCTAATACATTGTTATTAAGTACTTATAAACATGTAACAAAAAAATAACATTCTGTTTGTTCTAATTATGTGCCTAATCAGCATTGATCAGTTTCCAAAGTGACTTAATGAGTGAAAACAGTTTTTCAGACGATGAATGACATAATTTTTCCTCCTTTAAACAAGCTTCGTAAAGTGAACTGTACTTAAGAAACTCATGAATATATTAAATTAGTCAGAAGTTCACAGATTCACTCATTCAAACGTTTGGAAAGGTGTGTGTAAACCTTTTGACAGAAATACTGCAGATAAGCCTTTTGATGAGTACTTTCAGGCGTAGCTGTTGACATTTGTTTCTTCTCTCCAGGACATATCTGCTCATGAGAGCAACATTCTCGGCTCCTTCTGTGACATGAACGTAAGAATTGCATCCCAATCACACCCACTTAAGCGTTTTCGGATCTATTCAGGATAAATATACCCGAGAAGGGGAAATCATCCTCGGAAAAACGCGGCACAAACATTTGTTCAGTCAAATTTCTGAGATGAGGTTTACCGCTTTTATTGCTTCATTTGATTTTTATTTTTTCCGAAAATGAATCGTTGACAGAAATAATCATTACTTGATATGTTGTTAATTTTGACATGTACAGAGCTTATCGGTCCTGCAAAATTTGATATGCAACACATTATATGATGTGTTATATGAAAAAGAGGGGTGATCGTAAACAGAAACGACAACTAGTGCAATCGATGTTATAGATTTCAAAGAATCCAAAATTCCAATAAGCCATTTCTTTTGATGAGAGGACTAACAATTTTTTTTTCTGGCGTCTGCTTTTCTTTTTTTTCATTGGAAGCTGTGCAAGAAAGTTCTATGCTCTCACTAACAGGCATTATCATAGGAGAGAAGGCGGGAACAGGAGTAAATGCAGCTCCATGTAATCGTTGAAGATGCCTTTGCAATCTTTCTGTATTATGGATACAATTGCTTATTTGTGCTATTGATGATGAAATGTATTCTTGGCTCTTCCTTGCTCAGGCTAACCAAGGACTATTTGTACATGATCTATCTAACCGTACTCCCTGTTTTCAATTTTATTTATTCGAATTGGATTGGATTTCTAAATGTTGGATGGGAAAACCAAAGGCTGCGTTGACCACATACTGATTAGTCCGTTCTGTTATTTTTCCTACTTAGCGTGGCTTGGCTCGACTACTTCTTTTATCATTGCATTTCTCTTGATATTTGATTTTGGCTTCCAAACCCGCTGATGGCAGACTGCCAGGCCCTGATTGGCCAGCGAGTCTCAAGACTCCATGAGCGACTCCTTAACGTGAATCCCTTTCATCTTAAAAATGCCACGTCCACAAATGGTCCATTTCGTCCCTGTGACACTGTGAGGAAATGCGTTGGGGATAAGGTGTCAGCAGTTATTGTACCGAGTATGGAATCTGAAGATGGAATCAGAAGTTTTCTGGATAGGCAGATATCTGTTAAGTTCCACTTATTGGCTGAACAGCTGTATGCTGCATTTACTCCCTCTGGAAAAAGAAAATTAATGCGAGTTCTAAAGTTACTACTACGCCGTCCTTCCCGCAATTTCTCCATTCTGAAGCTGAACTGAATGAGAGCTATATTCCAGGTTTAACAGTTTATAATACTAGCTGTGAAAAGTGTGTACGTGTGTGTGTATACGCTGGTTGTCTGTAATTCTCCCGTGTTGTCGATCAGGATGCGGAGGTGCCCCTTCATCTTCTGCGCTACGTCTGTCTGTTCTGTGGGAAACACGGTCTCTCCCTGATGAAGGAATGTTTCGAGTGGGGCACTCCAGAGAGCCTCCCCTTTCCCATCGCCCATGCCTTCATCACCATAGTCTCTAATGTGAGTTTCTTCGATTCTCTATTGGCTCTCCTGTCGTAGCTCAGGTTATAATAAATCTGATATCGACTGCTTATTGAAAACTGTTAAAAAACAAAAACAACCTTCTACACTTGTATAATTTCACTGTTGGTTATTGTTGAAAATGAATGATTTCCGTCTCTGCAATGTAGTTTGTGAGTTCAATAATGTGACTTCTGTTTTCGGACCTCTTAACAGATACGAATTTGGTTGCACATTCCTGCGGTAATGCAGCACGTCATACCGTTCCGCACATATGTAATAAGGTGAGTTCCCAAAGAGAATTATTAGCTTTGTTCATAAAAGAAAAATGAGGGCACTACACGTTGGAAAATTTTAGCACCCGTCAGAGAAAAATCTGTAATGTCTTTTTTCATTTTTAGTTATTTTCAAACAAAAATATTTAAACAAAACTGCAATATAGAGTTAGTTTTTCTGCACGTGAGTAAAATCGAGAGAATCTACAACAGGAAATCAACAGGACCCTCATAGATGTTTTTTTGTTGAATGCAATGGAGGATACTGCACTCGCCTCAAAGGATAATTTCCCACAGATTTAGGGATGCTTGTGCATTGCAGGCGTTTTCTTAATATGGAAAAAATATTAACTGCTTGTGATAATTACCCCACACTGAATGCAGCTCAGTTAATATGCCATAATGCCAAGATGTTTGTGAGGATAACAAAATTCCTGATGATGGTGTGATGGAATTATGCAGCTGTAGCGCCTTTTGATGGCTGTCTATTTTAATACTTTTGTAGATTAACATAAAAAAAAACTTTAAAAAAAAAAAAAATTAAGTTAGTGCCAATTCTGACATCAAACCAAGATAGTAACTAAACAAAATGTTCTCTCAACGATAGTATTATCATTATTTTTCCAAGGAGCCAAATGCTTTCGACCAATAGCTGCAAATACTAAATCCGAATTTATCAGATAATGGGGCCAGGAAAGGAAACTGTACAAAGTTTTTAATTTGTACGACTCCATGTTCCTGGAGTAAATGCACTCATAGCTGTGTTTTGTCTCTGCATGCAGACCAAGTCAATTCAACTATTAACTGCTTATATTCCTATCTTAAATAAGAGCTCTCAGAAAATAAATTGTTTACTCTTTTGATAGTGATCAAACTATTGGGTAAGCCTACCTTGGCAAAGCAAATGTGTTCATTATAGCACAGTACTCAGATTTCAGCACTGCTGCCATAAAGCTGAATAGGATAAAAAATAAATATCCAATTTGTTTCTCCAGGTATCTGTGCAAGCTTTCGGACCAGGAGCTGCGACAGAGCGCCGCGCGCAACATGGCCGACTTGATGTGGAGCACGGTGAAGGAGCCGCTGGACAGCGCGCTGTGCTTCGACAAGGAGAGCCTGGACCTTGCCTTCAAATACTTCATGTCTCCGACCCTCACCATGCGGTTGGCGGGACTCAGCCAAATCACAGTGAGCTACGCTGCAAACACGAACAGCCTCTCTCACAACCCCCCCCCACCCACCAGGGGAATTGAAATGGGTGAAACTGATTTTTGGTGCAACAGGGAACCGATTCATTGTCAGATAGAAAAGACAGGCATACACACTAGGGACGTCCCGATCCAGCTTTTTGCTCTTCCGATCCAATACCGGTATTTTATTTGCACTTTCAATCTGATACTGGCCTATCAGAGCATGTATTAAAGTTTAAAGTTATTTAGCCTGCTTACTTAATTGTCAGACTCCTGTTGAATAGGGATTTACTCTAACAACTTAATGGTTAGGACACAGACCTGTGGGTCAGGTGATACTAATGCTCGTGTTGGATTGGACTTAAAAAAAAATACAGATTTTTTTGCAAATATCGGCGGCTGATCCGATCCAAATATCGGATCGTGACAAGCTTAATATACACCAGGATGTCTGAGCTTGTAAAGAGACTGTGAAATTGCACCAGTCCAGCACTGTGGCAAAGATGCTGTGGCAAAGGTGCACTATGCTTTAACTTGGGTTTTTATGTTTTCCTCAGAATCAGCTCCATACCTTCAATGATGTATGCAACAACGAGTCTCTCGTGTCCGACACAGAAACGTAAGTTACCGTAGTTTCACCCTTAAAGGTCCCACTTACTGAACATTTCACCAATACTGAATTGATCCTCTCAGGTCCATAGCAAAGGAACTAGCTGACTGGCTGATCCACAACAATGTGGTGGAGCACATATTTGGACCCAACTTGCACATCGAGGTGAGATCTTTGATCCAATTATGGGAATGGCCTAACATGTGTTTGTTTTGACATATTATTATTATTATGTTATAAATGGACAAAATGAGAAAAACACAAATGAGAGATAATACATTAGAAGACAGTTTCTTACACGTTCTTGTTTTTCCAGATCATCAAACAGTGCCAAGTTATTCTTAACTTCTTGGCTGCTGAGGGTCGACTCAGCACGCAGCATGTTGACTGTATTTGGGCTGCGGCTCAGGTAAGACTGGACAGCCTCCTAAACGAGACGGCAAAACCGTTGGGTTATTCACATGAGATAAAGGCACTAGTGTTTGGTTGTTTGGTTCATTGTTCTAGATTTGAAAAAAATGCATTTGTAAAACCCATTTGTTCATGTTTCAATTAGGTTTTTGCTTTTCAGATATAAAAGCCTGTCTTTTGTTTTCTTATATCATCAGCTGAAACACTGCAGCCGCTACATCCACGACCTTTTCCCGTCGCTCATTAAAAACCTGGACCCAGGGCCTCTCCGGCATGTCCTAAACCTGGTCTCCAGCCTGCATCCAAGTGCCCACACGGAGCAGGTGCCGTGCAGACTCACGCAGCTCCGAAATAAGCCCAGAAATTTAAACTTCACCAGACTATTTAATATATTTATAAGATTTCTTTCTTTCTTTCTTTTTCCGTACTTTTCTTTTACATCCAGGCCTCAGAATAATACATATTTTCTTTCCTTCAGACATTATACCTGGCGTCTATGTTGATCAAAGCTCTTTGGAACAATGCCCTGGCAGCAAAGGCTCAGCTATCCAAACAGAGCTCATTTGCCTCCCTCCTGAAAACCAACATCTCCATGGGGAACAAGAAAGGTCAGTCCATTGTCTAAATCGCTCTTTTAACATCCCTTAAAAGCAGTTCCGTCATGTTTTCCGAGGGTTTTCAGAAGTGCCACGTTCTCATGTTTTCTTTCCCCCCTAGATGGCTCTGAGTCCTTATTTTGTCTGTATTCAGGTTCAGCAGCTGCTAGTCCTGACAGTAGTGACAACAGTGACACTCAGCACAGTGGAGGCAGTGACATGGAGATGGAAGATCAAATGATGGTGACTGGCAGCAAGAGGAACCAGCAGAGGCTGTCGGATACAGAGGTAGATTTACAAAATGCATGCGAGAAAACCTATAGATTGACATAAGCCACGTATTATAAACAAATGATTTTAGGAATTTTTATTCTTTTTTTATAGTTGTTTTTCTGTGGAATCTTACTATTTTTTTGGTTTTATTTCCCCCTGATCTCATTGCATTTCTGTACATGACCCCCACTGACTGACTGAGGTTTCATATTAGCTCAAAGGACCCACCCCAGCAAACAGATGTTTTAAGCCTCGTTTCAGGTTTTATAAGCGGCATCCGCTGTTCCCTTTAGGAGTCGATGCAGGGCAGCTCCGACGAGACGGCCAACAGCGTGGAGGAGGGCAGCAGCGGGCCAGGGAGCAGCAGCGGCCGCAGCGAGGCCTCCAGCAACGAGGCCGCCTCCAGCCGGGCCAGCCAGTCGGCGGGGAGTCCCGGGAGCGAAATCCACTCCGACGACATGGCAGACAGCGAGGCCTTAAAGGAGGAGGAGGAAGAGGACGAGGAGGAGGACGAAGACGAGGACGAGGACGACGAGGACGACGAAGGCAACCGCACAGGGGCGAAGGGCGGCCGGCGGAAGGACGCCCGGGAGCAGACCGAGTCGAGGAAGAGGAAGGCCGAGGAGGCGCTCGGGGAGGGGATGGGTCACCCGATGGGTCACATTGGCTCGGGGGGAGGGGCCAAACACAAAGGCCTCGCCTTCAGCCAAGACACGCCTGCCGTCATGGTCCCAGCGGCATCGACGCCGATAGATGGCCACATGAGGATGCTGGATGCTTGCACCGCCTCGTCCTCTGCCCTGCCTAAGGGAACAGAGCCCCACCCACAGCCGGCCGACGTTAGCCCCTCCGAGATGGCCCCGGGGCAGCAGGAACCTCCCTGTATCCCACGACCCGGAGATTTCCTGGGAGAGGCCATGGGCAGCGAAATCTTCAGCTGCCGCCAATTCATTGGTCAGCAGCATCACCACCATCACCATCATCACCATCACGAAGGGTAAAATGATTATAATTGCGTTGCGAGTGAACCCAAACGTCTGAATTGATTATGTTAGTTCAACTTTTTGATTGTTTTTTTTTTTTTTGTAGATGTTTCTGGATGTGCGACTCTGTTTTTCAAACCTTTTTTTCCTTCTTTACAGTCCTATAGTGGAGGACATGTTGAGTGCGGATGACGTCAGTTGCAGTAGCTCCCAGGTCAGCGCCAAGTCAGAGAAGAACATGGCCGACTTCGACGGGGAAGAATCGGGCTGTGAGGAGGAGCTGGTTCAAATCAACTCCCACGCCGAGCTCAGCTCGCATCTTCAGCAGCACTTACCCAATTTGGCCTCCATCTACCATGAGCACCTGGTGCAAGGTAAGCACGCGTAAAAGCTTAGATGGTCTGTGGTATTGAGATTCCTAACCTTTTTAGCCTTTGTTTGAATGTCCAAAAAGTGGAGAACGTCAACTTGGCTGGAACCAAAAAAAAAAAAAAGGATGACTTTGTGATTTGTGTGTATTCCCGCAGGTCCAGCTGTTCATAAACATCAGTACTCCAGCCATGCCGTTACTGACATCAACCTGGACAACGTTTGTAAGAAGGGAAACACGCTGCTTTGGGACCTGGTGCAGGACGAAGATGCGGTACGTCTTTTTTGAGTGTGTCTTTGTTGACAGCGTGTGTTAAGATTTCATACAGGCTGGCAAACTTTCAGATTTTGTGTTGGCTTCAACTTGAAAATGCAAGTGGAAGTTGCCACAGTTCCTAATAGAGTTTGAGTCTGACTATTCTTACTGAAAAAAAATAGTAGATATTTAAATTAAATTTGTGGCTGTAACGGTTCAAATCTGTGGAAGACATTCAGTTCAGTTTGGTCATGCTCCGCCATCACAACTTAAATATCTACCCTCATCTGTATTTATTTTTTCTGACATTACTGTGATCTCTTATAACCCAACCAGATAATTTCTAATCAGAAGCCTAAAGCAGCAACACTGATTTTTTATTATTTTTTTCCTTGAGCTTCCCTGTTAATTCATGATTTAATAAGGACTTTGTTTGTGTTTGTCTTTAGATTCATTTATCTGAGGGTTTAATTAATGAAGCAGAGAAGCTGCTTTGCTCCCTGGTATGTTGGTTCACTGACAGACAGATTCGAATGCGCTTCATCGAAGGCTGCCTTGACAACTTGGCTCATCATCGGTAAGAGCAACCCACTGTTTGCTACTAGTAATTAATAATACACACATTTCTTTCTTATAATGGAAATAAAGATTTTTTTTTTCAATTTTTCCTTGTTTGGCCTATGTGGAATTGTTTATACATTTTTCCCACAGGTCAGTTGTGATTTCCCTGCGACTACTACCCAAGCTTTTCGGCACTTTTCAGCAGTTTGGCTCCAGCTACGACACTCACTGGATCACCATGTATGTAAAGCTGCTTCTTCGCAGGCAACATAGCAACTCGGATTTACTGTATGACACAAGCTGATCCAATATAAGTTTAGTTCAAGCTTTTCAAAGAGTAGCATATCAAAAACTTGTACTTGTTTTTTTCCTCTTGATGTTCTTGCCAAGTTATTCTTTGATAATAGCTTTTCCTATGGCACCCCTTTCAAAACTTTGATCCATAAATTTAAGGGAGCATAAAGCTTTTAAAAACAGATTTTCTTTATGAAAATTGTGGTTTCAATACAACAGAGTAAAAAAACTGTTTCTGTTCGGTTTTGTCAGGTGGGCTGAAAAGGAGCTGCACATGATGAAGCTGTTTTTTGACAACCTGCAGCATTACATCCACGAAGTGAGGGAACACCGGCACAAGTTTGCACTGTGAGTGTGTCAACTTCTCATTTGTATTCCAAATTCACGCTTAGGTGATAGACAACCATCACTCATGTCGGTGACATCACAGACTTTATTTGCTTGAAGTGCCCTGAAGATATGTCCAATGTTTGTTTCTGTACACAAACTGAGAGGAATTATTTGCATTTTACATGATGGAAACCAGTCTAGTTTGAACAATTTTTTTTTTTTCTGGAGGTACATTTTTCCCGTTGGTTAAAACATTTTTCAGATGAGGTGTGTCATTGTACTTCAGATTGATTTATTCATTTACAGGTGAGATCTTTGTAAAGCCAGTAAGTAGGGAAAACCACTCCTCCTTTAATTAATCTGCAATTACTGGGTTATTTGATTTCAATTGAAAAAGCAGATAAACAGCTGATGAGAGACATATCGGATGAAATTCAGTCTCGTATCAGTTTCCATTTTTCAATATTTGACTTTGTCATCTTAGGATTGATGGCATTAAAAACATTAGACTTGTGGCTGATTACAATCAGATTCTCAGTACTTTATTGCCCATACTCAAATGTAAAAGCAACAGCTGTATTCATACCCAAGGCCATTTAACTTTTGTTTAGTTAGGAAAAACTCAGAAAAACTCATCTCGTCTCCTACCAAGCATCTTGATTAGGCCTCATGAAAAGTAAAGCTGATTTTCCATACATCATGCAAATAAATGTATGCACCTTTGGGACACATCTAAAGAGATAGTAAAAAGCTTCCTTAACAACTGCTAACCAGTGATCAGATTATTTTGATAATCATACATTTAGGGCTCTTATCCATATGAATGAATTGTGTTGCATATTTATATTATTTATGCATAGATCTAATTCCTTCTTTTTCAGAGATATTCCACTGCCATGCTAATACTCACTGTTCATGAAATGCACTCTATTACAGGTACAGCCACAGTGCGGAGGTCCAGGTTCGTCTGCAGTTCCTCACCTGCGTCTTCTCCACACTGGGATCACCAGACCACTTTAGTAAGCCATTTCCGTTGTTAAATGAGCCAGGTGATCCCTGGTTGGATTTTTTATTTTATTATTTTTTTTTAGACATGTTTTATGTTATGTTGAAAAAATCCCATAACAGCTGTACAGTGGTAGGTAGCTGCTTAAACGTTTCCCACAGTCCATTTAATTTGTGTTTATACAGAAAATTACATGATATGTGTCCAGGACAACAAATGCAAAATATATGTTTCTGTCCTCATACACAAATTATATATTCATTCAATTTATTTTTATTACTTATAAACAAAAAGTTCTATAAATTGGAAAAGGATGTAAAAGCTTAGAAGGAGTACAATATTCCTTGTTTGCAATTCAAAATTTCTCCAATTTTTATTGTTTTTAAAAAAAGAAAAAAGTTTTAAAAAAACACTAAATGAACAAATGCATTCCTGTGTAATGTGGATAAAACCAAATATAGAATTAAATGACACGTAACGAGTTTAATTAATTATTGAATAAAGATTGCAATCTTTGATTGCAATCAAGACCAAGTCTGTCCATTAAGGAAAGAGCTCCAAATACATTCAACAGTTTCATGCTGTATGTATGTTAGTATGAACTGGAGAACAAACCACAGACTTGTAACCCTCTTTTTATTTAGAAAGTTATTTTCACTTAAGTGCTGCATTAGAATCCCATCATTTATATCTTGTCAATCTGTGTAATATATGTGTTATTCTCATTTGGTCATTACCATTATTTATGAATCACAGGTTGCTTTTTCTTCTCAGCTTATTTCATTAGTGAATTAAAATCCTAAACAAATTCAAGTACTTTCAAGTTAAAAAGTAACAAAAAAAATCTGTTAAAATTGTATTTGTGTTTGTAAGGTCCTGTTCTCCACTTCATTAGTGCATGACGAATTAATCTCTGAGCGAAAATGAGACAAGGATGATACTTTCATAGTAGAATACACAGTTTTAAGTTAAAAGTTGGAGTGGAGTAAACTTTTTTTTACCTGAATGAGCTACAGTTCCTTATGTCTGATTTGTATTTCAGGGCTGAGTCTGGAGCAGGTGGACATACTGTGGCATTGTCTCGTAGAGGATGCCGAATGCTACGATGATGCGCTGCACTGGTTCCTCAATCAGGTCCGCAGCAAAGACCAGCACGCTATGGGCATGGAGACATACAAACACCTGTTTCTGGAGAAGGTATAAAAGATCGAGAATACACAAAACAATTGTTTCACATATTATTTTTCCGTGAGTAATTGAATTAGATGAATGTGTAAAGCTCAGATGATATGTGTGGCAGTTCCACAGGGACAGCAGCTGCATGTTGATCGTTCTGGATGTGATTGTGTCCACAGATACCCCAGCTGAAGCCGGAAACCATCAGCATGACGGGTCTCAACCTCTTTCAGCACCTCTGTAACCTGGCTCGACTTGCCACCAGCACGTTGGATAATGCTTCCAGCTGCGAGGTATACGAGTTTCAAAATAAAAGCTTATGCAAATGATGTCCACTTATACTCAACCTGTTTATATTTGAATGTGACATATGGTTAAATTACTTATGTTCCAGCTGTGTGGGATGGATCAGCTGTGGGGCATTGCTTTGAAAGCTCAGTCTGCGGACATCAGTCGGGCTGCAATCCAATACATCAATTCCTATTACATCAATGGTCAGTAAACGAACAAAGCAGTTCCTAACACCTCCTCAAAGTATATGATTGCAATGTGTAGCTTTTTCTAAGAACTTTGAAAAGGCTTTCTAAGAACTGTATTAAAGTAATTAATGAAGTTTGCCTGTAGTCAATCTCTTAAAATTACCATGACCTGGATGATTTACAATCTACAGCAGTATTGTATCTGAATAAATCCCCCTTCCTCTTTCCTGTTTGACTGGGGTTAAAAAATCAATAAATCTATTTTTGTGTGTCCTCAGCTGGTAAAACAGGCCTGGAAAAGGAGCAGGAGTTTATCAGGAAATGTATGGAGAGCCTCCTGATTGCTTCGGCTAACTTGGAAAAGGATGCGTACTGCAGCCTGACGAGCATAGAGAGGGGGCTGCTAATGCTCAAAACACACCTGGAGGCTTTCCGACGCAGGTGAGTGGAGGATAGAAGCTGGGCCCTGAAACGCAGCGTCGGAAAATGACAAATTCCCTTAAAACTCTGTGCACTTCCTCTGGCAGGTTCGCATACCACCTGCGGCAGTGGCAGATAGAGGGGACTGGAATCAGCAGTCATCTGAAAGCTCTGAGTGACAAGCAATCCCTGCCACTCAGGATCGTCTGCCAGCCGGCCGGTTTACCCGACAAGGTGACATTTTACCCCAGACTTGCCAATTTCACCAATTTCTGTGTGGCTGCATCGGATTTACACCCCATAATTCGTCAATTTTATGACGGACCAGGGGGCTCGGTTCTTCCTTTGTCTCTTCATTGGGCCTTTTCGCCTTCGAAAAGAGACTTTCAAAAGACGCCTGTTTTTTTACTCCTTTTTCTAACTTCTGGGTAAAATTTTTGGCGCTCTAGTGACCAGGATGTAACCGAGAGTATCCTGTCATCTTTCAAAATAAAAGGTTTTACAAAATAAAAGATTATTCAGACTCGTAGAATAAATAAAATGGAAACAATTAATTATTACTTGTGCGGCCTGGTGCCAATTGACCGGTACCAGTCCGCGGCCAGGGGTTTGGAGACCACTGCCATAGTAGATATCATGAGGGAAAAAAAAAATACATATATGAAATCTGCCAAATCTTAATTCATCACTGTTTTGGATCTAAAACAAGTCTCCATGTTGTTGTTTTTTTTTGTTTTGAAGATGACTATTGAGATGTATCCCAGCGACCAAGTAGCAGACCTGCGAGCCGAGGTGACCCACTGGTACGAGAACCTGCAGAAGGAGCAGATGAACCAGCAGGCTCAGCTGCAGGAGTTTGGCCAGGGCAGCCGGCAGTCAGATTTTCCAGGTCAGACCTCTCAACTTTTTTCCATCGCGGATGTCTCCGCATCACGTCAGCAGCCTTCGCGCAGCCAGGAGCCAGTTCAACAAGTCTCTCCTTTATCCTGCCTTACAGGTGGTTTGATGGGACCAGTCAGAATGATCTCCTCTGGCCACGAACTTACTACAGACTACGATGAAAAGACTCTACATGAGCTGGGCTTTAAAGACATGCAGGTTAGCTTTACGCTTTTTTGCTCTATATCCTTGTCCTTTTTTGTCCTGATCACAGCGAGGACATTAGTAATCTGCGTGTCACGTCTGTCTGTCGGAATGCAGATGGTGTTTGTCTCTTTGGGAGCTCCGCGGCGGGAGAGGAAGGGGGAGGGGGTCCAGCTTCCAGCCTCCTGTTTGCCTCCTCCTCAGAAGGAGCACATTCCTATGCTGCTGCTCCTTCAGGAACCACACCTCACCACCCTCTTTGATCTTCTTGAGATGCTAGCTTGTTTCAAACCCCCCAGTCCCAGCGCAGACAACATGAAGGACAGCCCACAGGTGGGGATTTGATGTGGTGGAAAATGGTGGATGTTAAGTACTTTAGTATCCCTATATACGGCGTTAGAAGATATTACATTGGCTCCATACATTGGCTCAGCATATTTGCATTTGTAAGATCTGGCATCCAATAAACAAAATATGAATATGTAAATTTCTTGGGATTTGAACCATCATTATTCTTTATAGAAAACTATTAGTTGATGGTCTTACATGATAGTGTGTGTTTTTTTTCAAATTTAGAGCATGCGGTGCGAGGAGCTTCACCTTCATGCAGAGAATCTGTCCCGTCGAGTTTGGGAGTTGCTGATGCTCCTTCCCACGTGTCCCAAGATGCTTCACGCCTTCCAGAACATCTCGGATGAAACGGTCAGTTACCATGCCGAGCAAATCCCCTCCCACGAGTCCGTCGTTGAATTTAGCAAGCATCTTATCACTCGGTTGTCATGTTTGTAGAATGCAGATGGGCTCTGTTGGCGGGAGCTGCTGAGGATTAGGAGTCCCCACAAGCTGCTGTACGCACTGGAGATCATCGAAGCTCTCGGAAAGCCCAACCGACGCATTCACAGAGAGTCAACTGTAAGAAAGATGCATGAAACAAAACTACTCGAAAAAACTACTTGATATTTTTGTTGTGTGTTTACTATGTGTCACTATATATAAGGGACAAGCATTGAAACAAGATAATAAAAGTTGGTAGTGATTCATCTCCATATTCTCATGAGAGACCATAACATCCAAGTGTAGCTTGTGGTTTTTATCAATGAATAGAATGATGGACTCTGGAGAAATCTACTACCATAACTTTTGTAAAATTCCCTGTGAAATGGTGAATTATTTTAGCTCTAATTTTTTAATGTACAGGTATGAATAATGACAAATAGTTTTAAAGTACTTTTTCTTTTCTTTTTAACATTTTTTCTTTTGATTTTTTTTAGATGTGGGCATGTTTCACTGCCAAGATAAACTGAATTGTGAATGGTATCTTCCTTTTTGACTTAAAAAAACCCTTTTCTTACCTTTACAGGGCAGCTACAGTGATTTGTACCCTGACTCTGATGACTCCAGTGAGGATCAAATAGAAAACAGCAAAAACACCTGGAGCTGCAAGGTACAGTGAGGAACAGGACAGCTATAAACGGCAAGCCCAGAGGGTGTCGAATGGTACTAACGCTGTATTTGATTTATGTCTCTCATCTGCTTCTTCAGTTTGTTTCATCTGGAGGTTTGCAACTGCTTTTGGAAATTTTCAACTCGGGTATCCTTGAGCCTAAAGACCAGGAGTCTTGGACTGTGGTAAGACGGCTTAATCAAATCAGTTTATTTAAATGTAATTGTATTGCACATTTGACTGTAAATTGAGAGTTTAATGGATAGACAGAATATGAGCGGTTTAACATTAAAAACCTCTTTAAATGGAAATAATCCTGAATGAATCTCTCAATGGCATCCTTAGTGGAGATAGCAATGATTAAATGCCATCTGTCACTGATAATCCCTGTTTTCTTTTGTCTAAAGTGGCAACTGGACTGTTTGGCCTGTCTACTAAAGCTAATATGCCAATTTGCTGTGGACCCCACCGACCTCGACCTCGCTTACCACGATGTCTTTTCGTGGTCGAGCCTTGCCGATAGCCAGCGCAAACGGGCTTGGCCGGGCAAATCCCGCAAATCCACTGTGGATCATGGAAAAGGCTTGCACATTCCCCGCCTGACAGAGGTCAATATCCTGCCATTTCACTATTTATCATACTGGCTTCCGAGCTTTTTGGCAGATACAGTGCATAGCCCTTCAGCTCCGAATCGTAACTTGTTTTGTCTCTCCAGGTGTTCCTCAGTCTCGTCCAAGGTACTAATCTTATCCAGCGACTCATCAATGTGGCCTACACCTATGACAACATTGCACACAGGTGTTTTACCTTCTTCAAATGACCTCATTATAAGAACACTTCTTCAAAACTATTTTAATTTGGCAAATCTAATGTTTAAAAAAAATTTTTTTTTTCAATCCTCAGAGTTCTTAAGGCTCAGTCTGACCACAGATCTCGACATGAAGGTAAGACTTTTGAAGTTGCCTTCTGTCAGGCAATAAAAAAGGAACAGAAAAAAGGGGGAATACATTGTTTGGGCTGTCTTAAAGTTGCTTTGTCCCCCAGATTCAATGTTTTAGACCAAATGGATTCCTGATTATTTTGTAGAAAAAAGGTCTTACATTGGATCTGAAAAGTGATAGTGTTTAATTTCTTCTAAATTTGTTTTTAAACCATCAGTGACGCACTACTCAATGTGGCTTCTGGTAAGCTGGACTCACTGCTCCTCTGCCGTGAAGTCCAGTTTGGCTGACAGCGACCACCTCCACGATTGGCTAAAGAAACTCACCCTGCTGGTTCCTGAGGTGAGCCACTCTCGGTCTACAGCTTTGAATCAGAATCATCCAGAGCTAGAAAAACAATTACAACAAAACCTCTAATAGCTCCAGAGGTGAAATACTGTGTAAATACAGCCGTTTGAATTTACCTCTGTGTTTTCATTTGTTTTTAGCCAGCCGTGAGGCACGAGGCATGCAATGGCCTCTACAAGCTCTCTTTATCTGGCTTGGAGGGAGGAGAGTCTATCAACAGGTCCTTCTTGCTGCTTGCCGCTTCGACGCTGCTCAAATTCCTGCCCGACGCTCAGGCTCTCAAACCTCTGAGGGTGGGTCTTTACGTCACACACGGACATTTACACACCCTACGCCATTTCTTTGGTTACTTGGATTTGTGCTTTGCTACTCTAACCATCTTATCAGAACAGAAGATTCAAACTGGGAGCCACAGATCATTTTTGGTTGCTTTTACGGCAGTGTTTATGGTTGCTATCACCTCTAAACTAACTCCCCATCAGACTGACTAATGGTTTTTCCTAAATTTACAGATGGAGGACTATGAAGAGGAGCCTCTGTTGAGGAATGGCTGCAAGGAATACTTCTGGCTGCTCTGCAAACTCATAGACAACATCCACGTTAAAGATGCCAGCCAGGTGGGAAAACCGCTTATCGGCTCGATCGCTCGCCGACTTTCTACATGAGTTTGTTGCATCTTTTTGGTTTCGTATGAACTGTTGTTAGCGTTGGTCTGTTGTAACTCACAGAAGGTATCTTCCTCTCTGTCGCTGACTGGCTCGATGCAGACCACCCTGCTGGACCTTGACGCTCTCGCCCGACACCTTGCTGACTGCATCAGGAGGTCAGACAGTCCAAAAAATATGTTGTTTTGGAGCTTTTGTTTGATCAATATGTCAGTTAATCTACTTTCTGGCAATTGTAAAGCGAATGTTTCATAGTATATCAGTGATCCAACAGTGTTGAACATTTCGGTGTTCTTTTCTCCTCCCAGTCGAGAGATTTTGGACCAGCGGGACGGAACCATTGAGGACGACGGGCTGACCGGTCTCCTTCGCCTCGCCTCCAGCGTCCTCAAGCACAAACCCCCGTTCAAGTTCTCTCGCGAGGGGCAGGAGTTCCTGCGGGACGCCCACAACCTCCTCTTCCTCCTCCCCAGCCTGGCCGACCGCGCTCAGCCCAAGTGCAAATCCCACGCCGCCCGAGCGGCCGCTTACGACCTGCTGGTGGAGATGGTGAAGGGCTCCGTGGAGAACTACCGTCTGCTCCACAACTGGGTCATGTCGCAGCACATGCAGGGTGAGGCCCCAAGCTCGTTCACTTTTAACACTTTTCGTTCAGTAGGAACTGTCTTTGCAAACAATGAGGAAATAAAAAAAATAAAAAAAGAGCTGTAAAGTGTCTTAGAAGTTCTCAAACGCTGAAGAATTTAAGAAGAACTTCTTTCAATTTATGAGTTATGAGGAGTGAGAACAAGTGTTTCTTTAGGACAAGATGGTCAAGAAAGGCCTCTGAGAATTAAACTTTGTTCCGATGTGCCTGCTTTAGCCTCTCACGCCCCCTATAAGTGGGACTATTGGCCACATGACGACGTTCGGGCGGAGTGCCGCTTCGTTGGGCTCACTAACCTCGGAGCAACCTGCTACCTGGCCTCAACCATCCAGCAGCTTTACATGATCCCCGAGGCCCGTCAGGCGGTCTTCACAGCCAAGGTGAGTAACCCGGAGCTCAGGCAGTGAATGAACAACGTGATTAATTCTCAAAATGCATCCAAACTGATCCGATTCACACCAGAGTGTGGGCTCTCATTCAGTGTGTGTCTGTGTGCGTGCAGTATGCTGAGGACATCAAACACAAAACTACACTTCTGGAGCTTCAGAAGATGTTCACTTATCTCATGGTAAGTTTTCATAGGTAAAACTAACTATTGTTAATAAATTACATGTACCTGCATTTTTATTTTCATAGAAATAAATTGGCCTTGTGGCTGAGAGCAATAAATGAGACAGGGACTGACATTGTTAGGCGAACAACTGCTTATGTTGATCCTTCTCTCCATCTGTGTGTTTTTAGGAGAGCGAGAGGAAAGCGTACAATCCCCGCCCTTTTTGCAAAACCTACACCATGGACAAACAGCCCCTCAACACCGGCGAGCAGAAAGACATGACAGAATTTTTCACAGACCTCATCACAAAGATAGAAGAAATGTCCCTGGAGCTGGTAAAGTTTTTTTTTTTTTAAGTTTCAGATGTAGCGTTCATCAATAGATAAACACTTAAGAGAATAGTAAAGAAATAGTAAATAGTACATTTGTGGAAAGTTGCATACTTGCATGGATTGTAAACTAGATGTCTAATAGTTTCAATGAGACGCTTACCCAGAGTGGCTTATCGGTGCTTTTATTGTTGTGTTTTTACAGAAAAACACAGTGAAGACCTTGTTTGGAGGCGTGATCACCAACAATGTTGTCTCTCTGGTGAGTTGAAATGGTCAATAAGCTATGCTAAAACTGTGAAGCTTACCTTTTGTTAATTTCAGCAGTATTTTCTCGGATTTTACACAATTTTCTGATTGATAATTTTGACAGTTTTTTTTTCTTAATTGATTTAAATGTATTCTTTTTCTACACTTAACTCATTGTGAGCAAAAGCCCTTAGACATTCTCAATATGGAGGGTATTTCCTCTATTGGGCCAAAGATGGGTTCATCCCTACTCTCCATCCACATAACTTTTGCCTATACGAGCAACACAACCTAAATTCACAAAATATAAAACACTACTACTAAGAACACTTGTAGTTGGTATCATCAAAGTGTGTTTTATCGACATGCTCAATTAAAAGTTATAGGTTTTTTTAATGTGGCTCGTTGACAACCTTAAGTAACCCAAAAAAGTATTTTTTAAAGAAAAGGTCAAAGAAATAGTAGACAACACATTAAGTCTTGAATATTTGTTACTCTAAAATGTTGACAGGTTGTATCTGCTATGGAAGAAAATGCCTATGTTGTTAATTTGGTGCATCTGCAAACATAGATGGAAGGGGGTTGATGTTGCATTGTAAAGTGGCTTTACAGTTTTCACTATTAGTCCCAGCTTCAGCTTTATTGCCTTTCGATGGGTCCACTGATTCCTTTCCTCACGCATTCACTCTCTTCCCATGCTTTTTGCTCAAATAATTGGCCAGCCCCCAATTAAATATATACTTTTGTGTGTACATGCAGTGCAGAAATGGTCCTGTATGAACACGACTATGAGGCTTATGGATAACATTCTATAAGCTAGTGCAATGTTTTTGAGCTAGTTTTGATTTCTTTTTGTCAGTTAAATGCTACTCTTGAAACAGTTGAAAAGCTTAGATAAATGTCACATAATCTACAATTTGTATTGATTAAAACTGGTCGATCCAGTCTTTCAATCTTTCTCCAGATGGATTTGGTGTGAAAGTTAAACGGCTAATTTATTTGTAGCAGGGTTGTAAATACTTTCAGTGCCTGACTAAAGCTTTGTTTGGTCTTTCTTGCAGGACTGTGACCATGTCAGTCAGACGGCCGAGGAATTTTACACAGTCCGATGCCAAGTAGCAGACATGAAGAACATCTATGTGAGTGGGAGAGATGGAAGTTTCTTTCCGCTTTGTCGAAATCGACTTCGAAATCTTGAAATCACAATTCAAATACGTAATCTTTCAACAGGAGTCCCTGGATGAGGTGACCATCAAAGACACTCTGGAGGGTGACAACATGTACACCTGCTCACAATGTGGCAAGAAGGTTCGAGCAGAAAAAAGGTGAGAATGAAGCCTTACGTTAAAAGTCAGAATATAAAACAAACAAACAAAGAGTTTGGCCATCTCACCGTGCTCTCTCTCCCTACACAGAGCTTGTTTCAAGAAACTGCCTCGTATCCTTAGCTTCAACACCATGAGATACACTTTCAACATGGTGACCATGATGAAGGAGAAGGTCAACACGCACTTCTCCTTCCCCTTACGCCTCGACATGACGCCATATACCGAGGACTTCCTCATGGGCAAAGGAGATCGCAAAGAAGGTTCTTTCCAAACAGATTAAACACTACTGACAGCTAAAATCTAATCTGACTAAAAAGCATAGATGATGTGGCCCCTGTATTCTCAGCAGACTGACCCTGAGATCCCATCAAGATATTCATATAAGAATTTTGAGTTTGATTAAACATTGTAAAACACACCATCCTAGGTTTGCATGATACAGCATAGCCTTTCAGTTGTAATGAAAAGCTGCAGTCAGAGTCTGATTCGGTCGGTTTTGAACATTTACATGAAGAAGTATTATGCAACAAACTGACTAAATTCAGATGTCATTGTCTAAAAAATGTAACTATGGGGGCGATAATTCTTGATTATTTTCAGTTCAATTTTCTGTTATGTTTCACAGGTTTTCAGGAAGAAGGAGAGGCAAGCATGACGGAAAGCTATGAGTACGATCTGATCGGTGTCACGGTCCATACGGGCACAGCAGACGGCGGCCATTACTACAGCTTCATCAGGGATATCGTCAACCCACACGCCTACAAGAACAACAAGTGGTAACTACAGATTTGCTCTCATCTAACAGTCTATTCGACCTCCATCACCCACGAATGGGTGAACAATCAAATTTTCAGATGCAGGTCACATTTAAAAGGTGTTGTGCTTCACATTGCCAGGTATCTGTTCAACGACGCAGAAGTGAAACCCTTCGACTCGGCCCAGCTGGCAGCTGAGTGCTTTGGAGGAGAGATGACGGTAGGGGCTGCAATTGAATCAGAAATTTAAAAGAGTAGTCCGTCTCAGCATACCTAAATCCTATTTATGAATCTTTCAGACTAAAACCTATGACTCGGTCACCGACAAGTTCATGGACTTTTCCTTTGAGAAGGTGAAGGAGATTTTCTTTTCTTTTTCTCAGTCATTCAGTCATAATTCAAGACGCGGTCCTTTTGAGAACTGCATTAAAACAGAGATAATTATTTGATTTTCAGACACACAGTGCCTACATGCTCTTCTACAAAAGGGTGGAGCTGGTGGAGGAAAATGGGAAGGACTTTAGCTTTGATGTTTCTCCTGATCTGCTGGAGGTACTGCAGGTCTATTTTTGTCTAGTAACACGTTCACACTTTTTCCACAAACCTTTAATGTTTACCTCTGTCTCTGTCAGTGGATTTGGCACGACAACATGCAGTTTCTCCAGGACAAAAATATATTTGAGCACACCTACTTTGGGTGAGTGTGAATTCTGTTCCTTTGCCATCGTAAATCCTTGTTTTATTTAACGATCACTCGTAGCTTTATTTGATCATTTAAACTGTTTTTTTTTCAGGTTCATGTGGCAGCTCTGTAGCAGCATCCCCAGTAGTTTGCCAGACCCCAAAGTTGTCTCCCTCATGACTGCCAAGGTGAGCCATGTTAAAGTTACGCTGGCTTTTAAGATAACTTTGAACTAAGCGCTATTGAACTTAGTTTTAGATATTTTCTGGTTTGCACAAAACACAATAATTTTGAAAATAAAATAATGTCATGACTTTTGCAGCTCTACACTTAATCATAACCATTCATTTTTTTAGCCTTTTGTCAGTTTACAGCTTTTTACAGCTATATCAGAGGAACTTTTGTTTTTCTGTAACTTACCATATGACTGTATTTTGCAGCCCCTTTTAATCATTATTTCTTTAATCTTTCTTATCTTATCTCTCTGTATTTAAGTAGTAATCAGCTTCCAGTCAGTGTCGTCTTTGAATTATTGTTGGAAATTTCTAAACATCCTTTGGACTCGTCATTTCTCAGAAATGCCACTGATTTGCCCGATCTTGGTTTAGAAATTTCTGAAACATTTATCCAGTTTATAAGGTGGAGATACTGCAAAGACAGGAATCATATTTCATCAGCCTTCTCTTTGTGGTCAGACAATAGTCAGAAAATATTCTAATGTTTGATAACCTGCATCGGAATTCTTTCCGGTATCTTAAGAGTAGGCATTTCAAGGGTCGCGGCAAAAACCACAGCAAGAAATCGCATGCATTACAGACACACAACCATAATTAGAACTCCCTTTCTAGCCCTAGCCAATAGAGTCCTTCAACGTTTGGTAAATTTATTTTCTACTAATTTACTTTATCTTCAAATAGATTACTTTTTGGGGGGGTTTACAAGTTTCACATAAAGCTCACATTTTGTAAACCACTGGTTGGAAGAGTTGTGTAAAGTTCAGTTGTAATTGCTTTTTAAGAGTTGTTTTCATTTTACAGCTCAGCACATCGTTTGTCCTTGAGACCTTTATTCACTCTAAGGAAAAGGTAATGTACACCCACTTAAGTTTGCTAGTGACCACTTGAAACAGTTATACAAAAAATAAATAACCGCAATGTATCCTTCCTGATCTCCTCCCTCCAGCCAACCATGTTGCAGTGGATTGAACTGCTGACCAAGCAGTTTAACAACAGCCAGTCTGCCTGCGAGGTCTGACCTCTTGTCACAATATCATAACATGACAACATTGTGAATGGTCTTAGTACACCTTTTTCTTCCACAGATATCCTGCACGACCATTGATTTAACAATTTTATTTCTGTTTTAGTGGTTTTTAGATCAGATGGCTGACGACAACTGGTGGCCCATGCAGATCCTCATAAAATGCCCCAATCAAATAGTCAGACAGGTAAGTTGTCTATCATTGTTTAGCGAAACCAAGCAAACAAACAGCAAAAAACACAACAGGCTATCGAAAAAAACATTTTAAAAAAAGCATAAGATTTCATGACAGTTATATAAGTTATATTTGTCAGTTATGTAAATATGGCAACGTTCTGTTATGATAGTCAAAATTATAGAAATGAATTGACTTCAGAAGATATTCAGATATTGACTCCAGACTGATATTCACCCATTCACACGATTCACAGTGCTTCTTTATTTTGATCATTGCCTAATCCATTAATTTTTTTATTTGAAAGAGTTGTATTTTCTAAATGTTACGGGCTGCTGTTTTGAGCCTTTGAGACATTTATTTAGTTAGAGCACTGTTGGCATTTAAGCTCACAGTCACAGAATAATTGGGATTGACAAAAGGTGGACTTTGAAAACAATAAATATCAAATCAGGCATATTTTTTCCAAAGCAAACAGAATTTCTGTTTGTCTATATCATCAGCTTCTTAACTTTTGAAATATATCCTTTTTAGCTTTGTGTAAATCTTAAAGAATGACATATTCGATGCATTGTAATGAGGAAAAAGTTGTTGCAGTCTTTGTGTTAAAATTCACAACAATTTTTACACCGATGAATGTGAATTTGTCTGTACTACGTGTTTCAATTTTTCAATAGAGCTCGAGAAGCCTGCATTTAAGTAGAATGACTATTTGAGAAGTGGAAAATCATTGCCAATCCCAGCTTGTGACATTACTGAGCGTCTCATCACATATACCCGTTTTCCAGATGTTCCAGAGGTTGTGCATTCATGTCATCCAGAGGTTGAGGCCAGTTCATGCTCACCTCTACCTGCAGCCTGGCATGGAAGATGGGTAGGTTTCACCTAAATAAGTATTTGACTCGCCGGCGTTTCTCTCATGAAAAAACATCTGATATAAATGTATTTTCATCAGCTTGTAAAGTAACTTTGTATGTTTTAAGACAGCTTTAAATCGGGCAGCTACAGATATTCATACATCAGCTGTGTGTCACACAGTGTCTTTGTCATCCTTGATTCTGGGAAGGATCTATAGCTCATAAAACTGAGTGATTGAATGTTTAGAGGGTGTAATAATGCCAGCAGTCAAAGTGGGTTGGTCTCTGTTTTTTCATATCAACCAGTTTTATTACGCCTCCCCGTCTGAGTATCCGTCTCCTGTTTTCAGCTCCGACGATATGGACGGTCCTGTAGAGGACATTGGAAGCCGTTCCTGTGTCACTCGCTTTGTTAAGACCCTCCTATCCATCATGGAGCACGGTGTCAAGCCGCACAGCAAACACCTGACCGAGTACTTTGCTTTTCTCTACGAGTTTGCCAAGATGGGAGAGGAAGAGGTTAGTCTGACTCATATAGATTGAGCCTAAAAGACCAAAGGTCTGTTTAATCAAAGATGATATCATGTAATATTTCTGACTATTGGGTCAATGAGCACATTTTGAAACGTAATTGCTATTGATGACCGTCACGAATGCACAACAGGGGCTGAATCATGTGATCCATTACTTCATTTTAGCTTTGTTAACTTTTAGTTTTGAAATTATTACCATCTCTTTTTGACCAGCTTTGTCGCTTTTATTTTAAAGATTGATTATTACTGCCCTATTAATTATTACCATCTTCTTTTGACCGGCTTTGTTGCTATTTATAAGAATTGTCATCAAGATTTCATTTTTAAAAGATGTAATAATTGAGTCTTTTGTCTGACTTCAAACAGAGTCAGTTCTTGTTGTCACTGCAAGCCATCTCCATCATGGTGCACTTCTACATGGGAACCAAAGGCCCTGAGAATGTAAGTTTACACCCATTTGTATCAGGTAAAACTACAAGTGACTATAAGAGTTTGTATGAATCTTTGCCATGGCATTTTTTTTTTTTTTTCAGATTATAGAGTTTGTAAAAGGCTATGTCAAAATACGCTACATAGATACTGTGTAGCTAAAATTTTTCGCACATGAATATTTTTAAACTGCCCGCCTCTTATTCTCTCAGACACCTCTTATTTTCAAAAATATAGAAAACTGTGTAGTGCTTGTAAACCACATACATACATTTACACTTTTATATTCTATATTCTATGGAAATATGTAATGTGCTAAGTATTTTTTTTCCTGTATATGACCAATACCAAATGAAAATGTAATTAAACACTCTTATGTTTCTCTTTTTTAGCACAATCGTTTTTACTTTCCTGCTCCTTTTAAAGGAAACTACTTCATGATTTTACTAGCTAAACCCTTTTCTGTTTTCTTCTGCATTTTCACGCTGATTGAAGTTTATACCTACCTTGGGAAACTTGAGTTAGATAATCTGAAAAATGGAAAATTTAAATGCTCCAGTGAGATTTGCATTTTACAGAAATTAATTTTTCAAGTTTGGTTTTGCAATTACATTATGTTTGAAGCTTCCCAGTGGTGTGTATCGCATTAAGAAACTAACTTTAGGGAATTAGGCAACAGGAGATCCACACATAACACCTTTCAAGTATTGTTTTGATAACTAATCTGAAATGAGTGGAAAAATAACAAAAAGCTTCCATATTGTCCTGTCAATGTGTTTTTCACTGTTATTTATAATACTAATTCTTTCTAAATGTTATAAAACGTCTGCATAAATGTAATTTTATCATAATTTAATCTGTTTCACTCAGCAGGCTAGGTTATACTAAAATTCCATTTTGCACAAAAGGGCTATTTCAAATTCAAGTCTGCAATAAGCAGATATAAACAACAAGTTTCTTTCCTCAGCCGCAGGTAGAGGTACTCTCAGAGGAAGAAGCAGAGGAGGACGATGAAGAGGAAGACATCTTGTCTTTAGCAGAGGAAAAATATCGTCCCGCAGCTCTGGAAAAGATGATTGCTCTCATCGCTCTGCTGGTGGAACAGTCTCGCTCTGAGAGGTACAGGTTGCAGAGACGACGGAGAAGTTATCCTTCTTATTCCAGCAGACACGATCACGGTGTTCCTTCTTTTCGTCCAGACATCTGACGCTGTCCCAGAGTGACATGGCGGCGCTAACAGGAGGAAAGGGCTTCCCATTCCTCTTTCAGCACATCAGAGACGGCATCAACATCAGACAGAGCTGCAACCTCATCTTTAGCCTCTGTCGCTATAACAACCGACTGGCTGAACATGTAGGTTGTTTTTAAAAAAAAAAGTTTTTACTTCTTCCAGAAAGGAAAGTGGCATTGACTTTGTGCTCTTTGCGTAGATTGTGTCGATGCTCTTCACCTCCATTGCAAAGCTCACTCCTGAGGTAAGCAACATGATTTTAGGGGCAATATCGATAAACACAGCCGCTAATCTTTCAGCTCCCAGTGTTTGTTTGCATTGTACAGCATAGGAATTTACATTAAGTGAGGAGAAATTTCTTTTTAAACAAAATATTTTTCCTGTTTTTTTATTGTTTTTTTTGTTGTTATTTCTCCCTTCAGAATGCTAATCCGTTCTTCAAGCTGCTCACAATGTTGATGGAGTTTGCAGGTGGACCTCCAGGGATGCCCTCGTTTGCCTCCTATATACTCCAAAGAATCTGGGAGGTAAATAAAAACTGCCCCTCTCCCACAAAGGTTCACAAAAACCCTGATCAGTTACACTGAATTTGTTTAACATATTCGATCCATCCATTTATCAGTTTATCTGATTGAGTTTAGTATTAGAAATTATAGTGAAATGTAGGAGAGAAGCAAACAAAGCACTTAATTTTTCTAAGTGTTCATATTTGAAATTATATGCATATGGAACGCATATAAAAATAAATCACTGTAAATGGGTGTATTGAATGCTATCGGAATGTGAGTCCCTACCTCTGCTTATCACAGACCTGGCTATCTTTTTTTTTTTACCAGTTTAACTTCATGCCCACAGTTTTTGTCTGTTTTGGTACTCTTAACAGTGTGATAGATAAACTTTGTCAAATTTGTGATTGTGAGATGTCTAAGATTAAACACATTTTTAAAAGAGAATTAAAAAACATTAAAGATTGTTTAAAATGACCTTTGCATAGACCTTGCATAGAAAACATTAAAAAAAGAGGATAGATGCGTCCATGGAGTGTTCCTTAAATCGTTATTCACATATATTTTCTCTGCCGGCAGGTGATCGAGTACAATCCATCCCAGTGCCTGGACTGGCTGGCTGTTCAAACTCCCAGAAACAAATTGGCCCACAGCTGGGTGCTGCAGAACATGGAGAACTGGGTGGAGCGCTTTCTTCTAGCCCACAACTACCCCCGAGTCCGCACATGTGAGATAATTCAGACTGAATCTGTGCTTTGATGTGCCTGACATTTGTCGTCAACAGAAATTAAACAAAATTTAGCATCAAGCTGTGTTTTAACCCTGTAATGCCAAATGTATCATATTTGATATATACGGTTTCTGAAATGTTTTGGGTCTGACACCTTTTGCATAATTTAATGGTAAAAACTTTGCTCAAAATCCTATTGTACACAATCAGATACATTTGATACCAGGGGGCAGAAGACTACACAAAAAATAATCTTGACTTATCTCATAGTAATAAATTATTAATGTCAAAAATGTATTTCTGTTTTTTCTTTTTACATATTTTGTTAAAAAGACAAATAAGGAATTCAAACAAAAAAATAAGTAATTTTCTGTTTTGTCTTATTCTTGGATCACGCTTTAAAGGGTTAAACACATAACTAATTTGAAATATTCACACTCGTGAGGTTAACAATTGTTTTTTTTACTCTGAAGAGATGGAGTGAATGGACTCCTGTTAGCATGAATTGAATTTATCAAACATGTGACCGAAAAGAGAGCTAAATACATTTTTTTTTTTTTTTAGCTGCGGCATACCTCCTGGTGTCCCTCATCCCCAGCAACTCCTTCCGCCAGATGTTTCGCTCCACGCGCTCCCTTCACCTGCCGACTCGCGACTTGCCGTTGTCGCCCGACACGACCGTGGTGCTCCACCAAGTCTACAACCTGCTACTGGGGCTACTCGGCCGCGCAAAGCTGTACGTGGACGCCAGCGTTCACGGCACAACCAAGCTCGTGCAATATTTCAGCTTCATGACGTACTGCCTCATCTCCAAGACTGAGAAGCTCATGTTCTCCGGGTACTTCATGGACCTCTGGAACCTTTTCCAGGTAACTTCAAAACACTTGCTTTTGGTTTGTAGGTAATTGGTCGGAACAAAAGATGATTTTGTCAGATTTTCTACCTTTCTGTGATGTATATTTTCTTCTCAAATTTTTTTTTTTGCCATATTATGTGATATTTTTATTCTCCCTTCTGTTTTTTCTTTTTAGCCCAAACTGTCAGAGCCAGCCATTGCTACCAACCACAACAAGCAAGCGCTGTTATCCTTCTGGTACAACGTGTGCGTGGACTGTCCTGAGAACATCCGACTGGTGGTGCAGAACCCCGTGGTGACCAAGAACATCGCCTTCAACTACATCCTGGCCGATCACGATGACCAAGAAGTCGTCCTTTTTAACCGCGGGATGCTACCGGCATACTATGGGATCTTGCGCATGTGCTGCGAGCAGTCGCCTGCCTTTACCCGCCAGCTGGCCTCACATCAGAACATCCAGTGGGCCTTTAAGAATCTCACGCCACATGCCAGCCAATATCCAGGGGTAAGCGGGCAGTCAAACATCCAGCAGAGACCTTTTCATAGTTACACGGATACCCGGAACTACAAAAACGTTCTCCTCCCCGAATAAATTAACTACCTTTAATCCCTTTTATTGTAAATATTATTGGAAGCATATCTTAAGGAATCCAACATGATGACTCTCCTTTTTTTGTTACCATACCTTGAATTGCATGGTGGAGAATATAATTAAATTATTAAGCAATTTTTTCTTTAATTTTTCTGAAAAATAATTAAAGCGGCAAATTTATTCTTAATTTGTTTGGCAGAGGTTATAATTATTAGCTGTTAGAATTATAATTCATCAAACAGGGTACTAAACTAAATTGAGTTTTTAAATATCTGATCTTTCATTTTCATGTAACCCATCCTCCACAGCCCTTAGTCCCATTTGCAAACCAAAGAGGTTGCATTTTAGGACATACAAGTGTGTGGTTTAAATATATTTTCAGTTTTAATTAAGTCTTACTTACTTCGCAATCTTCCACCTCTACAAACACAGACATTTTTATGTATAATTTCAAGGTAAAGAGGATGTCTACATCCTAAACCCATCATCTAATAGGTTTCCCCGTTAACTGAAGCCTCTTTCTCCCATTATACTTTATACTTTTTGATGATTTTAAAACAGTGAAAGAAGATGCTCCCAGAAGACTGATAAAATAAAAAAACACCAGGTCAAAAATAAAAAGCAGTCTTCCCAACAACAATGCTTGAAGCCAGGTTTCTCTGTTTATTTGTTTTTTATGCATGTTCCCTTTTGCGCAGGCGGTGGAGGAGCTGTTCAACCTGATGCAGCTGTTTGTGGCCCAGCGAGCCGACACCAGGGAGGAGGAGCTGGAGGACATCAAGCAGTTTAAGAAGACGACCATCAGCTGCTACCTGCGCTGCCTGGATGGTCGCTCGTGCTGGACCACTCTCATCAGGTCTGCGCTCAAACACGCAAGCTTTCAGACTGACCAGACCTGCCATCGTTTGACCCAGTCCCATCTTATAGAGTTTTAACAAAATAACCCGCCCTTGTCTTCTCTTTTTCTCAGTGCCTTCAGAGTTCTGCTGGAAAACGATGAGGACAGACTGCTTGTGGTGTTCAACAGAGGGCTCATACTTATGACGGAAGTACGTCTCTCTTTCCACCAAACCAGAAAATCTGGATTAAGTCCACTTTTTTACCTTCATTGTGAAGTGAATTTGTTAAAAAAACTTCCAAACACATGTCATTGCCTTTGAGATAAATTGGTATTAGAAAAACAGCCAAAATATTACATTGAAACACACAGAATTGATGAAGGAAATCTATGAGTGTCACCAGAGAGATGGTCAGTTTTGTAGAAATGTACGCGGTCTAACGCTCTGTTTGACCCTCCAGTCCTTCAACACTCTGCACATGATGTACCATGAAGCAACGGCCTGTCACGTCACTGGAGACCTGGTGGAGCTGCTTTCCATTTTCTTGTCGGTGCTCAAAGCCACCCGGCCATACCTGCAGCGCAAAGGTTAGATTGTAAAAAAAAAAATAATAATAGAAAAGAAAAGGTAATATTTCCACAGCATAAAAAAGTCCTTTGTTCTGTTTTTACAAAGAGGCTACAGTTTGGAACTGAGTGGTTACTGTAGTCTACTCAGTGATGGGAAAACGAGTAGATATCAATTTGAATAGAATAATACACAGAATAACGCATAGTTACTTTTATTGGTCATCTCAAGTGTTCATTGGTGATATGGTGCCAGAAGCTTTTGCACCATCTTCCATATAAAAAGACAGACATGACTCTGACTCTCTTTTGAGTGGAGCAATTATGCCTTTCTCTCGTGTCTCAGATGTGAAGCAGGCTCTGATCCAGTGGCAGGAGAGGATTGACTTTGCACACAAGCTGCTCACACTCTTGAACTCCTACAGTCCTCCTGAGCTGCGAAACGCCTGCTTAGGTATTATTCATCTTTCATCCATTTCCTTTAAAAGTCCTTTCAGCTCTTCTCATTGTTACTGAAATCACCCCGTCAGATATAGATCTTATTTTCTTGACTGCAACAAAGGTTTGAAAGCAGTCATTTGTTATTGTTCTTGTTGTAGATGTCCTGAAGGAGCTGGTGTTGCTGAGTCCGCATGACTTCCTACACACCCTCGTTCCTTTCTTACAGCACAACCACTGCACATACCATCACAGTAACATCCCCAGTAAGTCCCCGCCGTTTTCATTTCATATGTATTTAAATTTAAAAGCCAAAAAGTTTGCCATAACATTTTTTAAAAGTGTAGCAAAATGTTGATTTGTCTGTTTTTAGGTGTTGTAGTTCAGCGTTCAGCACTTTTCTGTCAAGTTAAAACATTTTTGTTTTCAAATTTTATCCTCTAGCTGCAGATTTGTTTTGTATTAAACTGGAGATACCCTCCCAGTTCTACTGCATTCAGGAAACCTAGGAACCACAATCATTTCTAAGAACCCGCATATACACATTTATTTCTTTTACAATGACATCAGTTAACAAAAATAGCTTTTTATTATTTAAAATATCCCATTTTAAATGGTAAAAGGTGATGTGCTGCCAACCTGTGCCAGGTGTGTTTTCCCTCCCATCGAATGGCAGCTCAGATTCTTCCTAGATATTCTTCTAGGAAGAATATTTTTGGTCACTTTTCTAGTAAATCCTTACTGAATGCTGCGCGCAACTCATATTAACTTAATATGATGGAAAAAAGATTTATGTCCCAAAATCAATTATGTCTGAGAGTAGAAATACTTCTTCTCTTGTCCAAAACGTAAAGCCCTGGGGTTTTTCATGCTAACGATTATTTATTATAAGCAAGAAGATTACAACCAGACTGTAGCAGTATATATTTTATTTTAAAATGCACATTTTTAGTATTTAATACATTTGATTTGATTTCTGGTTCTAAAATGCCCACTATGAGAAAGAAATTGGAGTTTTCTACTTTTATGTTAGATAAATGTAAAGGATTTTGATATTAAACTTTCTTTTTTTTCTTTGTTTCAACAATTCTTTTAAAACTTAACGATCTGTTTAGCGAATTTAAGAATAACAAAGCTGGCAAAAACACAATATTTCACGCTGGAATCTGCATAGTGTTTTTCTTGGATTTAATTAATGGGCTAATTATCCATCTTTCTCTTCGTAGTGTCGTTTGGCCCCTACTTGCCGTGCAGAGAGAACATGAAGCTGATGGGAGCAAAGAATAACATCAGGCCTCCGAGACCCGAGCTCAACATGTGCTTGCTGCCCTCTTTGGTGGAGAGCAGCAAGGTACGTCCCCCCCCCCCCGCCTCCCGTTCTAACTTAAAACAGAAGTATTTGATGTTGTGTTAATGCAGAGGAACTCTTATAAGAAAGTGGTCAACACATAAAAGCTTCAAAGCGTGAAGCAGACCAGTAAAGTGAACTGTGTGTTTGTGTCCCTTAGGGTAAAGACGAGGTGTACGACAGGATGCTCTTCGAATACTTCTTGTCCTACCATCAGTTCATTCACTTGCTGTGCCATGTTGCCATCAACTGCGAGAAGTTTACTGATACACTTGTCAAATTAAGTACGTTATTTAGCCTTCCTTAATGATGCCTACCGACAGAAATACTTTTCCCCCCACATGAACAGGTTCATTCGTCTTCAGGAGAAATGCTGGTCCCCTGTTACCTTAATGTACACCACCCGGCCAGGGTAGGCATCAATGTGAAAGTAGCAAAGACCCACAATGCCTGTGTCCCTGCAAGATTTGGACAGCATTCAAAGTTGGTGGTTTGAAGAGCCCCCGTAGATTCACATATTTCTGGCAAATTCTTATTGTTTGCGTTCCCTTTAAGTGAGACAAAGCAGTGGTTGACCGAGGCAGCTGAAGTGATCCCCTAAAGTTTAATGAACAGTTAGTGATCTGCAAAGTGACTTTAGCCAACTCTGCACACAGTCACCGTTGCTCCTTACAGGTTAAAATTTTCCGCAAAACACACCGAAGTCCTTCTTAAGCGGACACACATCAGAGCGTTGCGCGAAACCAAAACGCACCGGATCGGAAAAGCGGCAGACGGTCGGAGCCAAGGCAGATTTCTGGCAGCTCTCCATGATCTTGTCAGAATAACTTTGCAAAAGAAAAACCAGGCTTACTCACAACGAGACAGACATATTCCCCCACCAGATCGACAAAAAGCAGAGCGTGTTTGAAGAGTGCAACACTACACAAATACACACGAAAACACACTTGTATTCTTTTTTTTATATAGAAATACCTTCTCCTTTTCCTTCTCAGGTGTTCTAATAGCATATGAAGGACTCCCTCTTCATCTGGCTCTCTTTCCCAAACTGTGGATGGAGCTCTGTCAGTCTCAGGTATATCCCCATTTTGTTTTGTAAGTCTTCAAGTAACCCTTTAAATTCTTGAGATATCACAAAAATGGCAACCCCGCCATCTATCTATGAGTTTTTTCTTATTTTTTTTAGAGAAAATACAATTTTAAATAGAACGCTGTGGTCGTACTGGGTAATATTTACTGGGGCCACAGACATAATCTTGCATTGTTTGCTGCTTTTTCAGTCCGTCATGGCTAAAACATGTGTGAAGCTGCTGTGCGAGGACCCAGCCTTCAGCGAGTACATCAAGTGCATCCTAATGGACGAGAGGACGTTCCTAAACAACAATGTGGTCTACTCCTTTCTCACCTGCTTCATGCACAAGGTAAAACGCAGGAACCAGAGCTGTGTGCGAACAGCAACAGTTTGATTTACTAAAAATAAAACAACCAACACGTTGGTGCGCAGGTCCAGGTGCTGTCCGTCCCCAGCTTCTCCAACCTCATCGGCGTTCTGGTGACCAACCTGCTGAGCGAGCAGAGCAACCTCCAGCCGGAGTTGGCGGCTCACCACGCGGAGCTCAACAAGACCAGCAGCCTGCTGAACGCCGTAAGGAGAACGCCCGCAGGCTCCCGGCCGAACGCCGGCATCTCATTCGCTAATTTCCCCGTTTGTCTCTTTGTGCCCGCAGGACCTGAGAGCGCTGGTGCTGCTGCTGTCTGTCCAGCCTCCGCAGGCCATCGACCCGGCGCTCTGCACGGCCCTGCAGGAGCTGCTGGGCCGCTGCCGCCTTTGCCTCCAGCGGCGCAGCGCTTTGGAGCAGGAAATGGAGGACCAGAAAGCTAAAGGTAGGAGGAGTTCCGTCTGTCCGTCCCTCCTCTTTACGGGAGGGAGGGATGGACGAATAAACGGATGGATGTAGATGGATAGATGGGTGTACAGATAGATAGATAGATAGATAGATAGATAGATAGATAGATAGATAGATAGATAGATAGATAGATAGATAGATAGATAGATAGTAGGCGTGTCCCGATCTGATATTTGGATCTGATCAGCCACCGATATTTGCAAAAATATGTGTATCCGCCAGCATGAGAAAAAGCCGATCTAGACTGCCGATCCAGTTTTTTTTAAAAGTCCAATCCCACACAACCATTAGCATCTCCTAACCCACAGGTCTGTGTCCTAACCATTAAGTTAGAGTAAATCCCTGTTCAACAAGAATTTGACAACTAAGTTAGTTGGCTAAATAACTTTAAACTTGAATACATGCTCTGATAGGCCGGTATCGGATCGGAAGTGCAAATACAATATTGGTATCCGATCGGAAGTGAAATAAAACCGGTTTGGGACATCCCTAATAGATAGATAGATAGATAGACAGACTTCATTGATCCCTAGCTGGGAAATTACCGTTCAGAAAGGTAGGTTACAAGAAAATTAAAATAGTGCTAAATATATAATAAATAAATAAAGAATAAAAATATTCTTATTTAAGGAAAATATTAAATATGCAAATACCGAACTGATTAGGACTGTGATGAATAACCCGCAGAACAAAAAATAAACCGTGTGGTGCAGTTAACTTAGAGTACTATAGGCCCTCAACATCGTCGCACCACAGATTGTTGCATTTTAATGCCAGGTTTGAACGCAGGCTGCCATATTTTGGGCAGATTTTCTGTTCACAAGCATTGGAATTTCTGTGGAGTAAGTTGTGGCAGAACCTGAGTGTGCATGTGCTGTGTGTTTGTGCGGCAGCCGAGGACGAGGGGGCGACCCCCGTGAAGCGGCGGAGGGTGAGCAGCGACGACGGCCGGGCCGGGGACGCGGCGGCCCCCCTCTGCGTGGCCTCCACCTCCACCTCCGCCTCTTCCTCAGCTCTCCCGCCCTGCGGCGAGCCCAAGCCCGAGCACCCGGAGGCCCTGACCCCGGCCAGCACCTCGGACACCGAAACGCGGGACTCCTCCTCCCTGATCATCGACCCGGGCACCGAGCAGGACCCGCCCTCCCCGGACCCCGTCCCCACCACCTCGGAGCACCGCCCGGACCCCGCCGGGAAGGAGGAGAAGATCGAGGCCTCCTCCTCCTCCTCCTCGTCCTCCTCCTCCTCCTCGTTCTCCTCCTCCTCCTCGCTGCTGCAGGAGGCGGGGGAGGGGTTCGCGCAGGGGGAGGAGCCCGGGCGGCCGGCGGACAACGCGGGGGCGGCCGGCGAGCGGGAGGAAGAGGCCGGGCAGGGCGGGGGCCGGGGCGGGGAGATGGCGGCGTCCTCCTCTTCGGCCGAATCCAAGGAGGAGAAGGACGCCGGCCACAAGGAGGCGGCCGGGCTGGCGGGGGAGGGGACGGACAGTTGCGGGAGCCAGTCCTCCCCCTCGCAGGCGTTTCCGATGGCGTGCCCCCCGACCGACATGCTGGACATGCTCTACAAGACAGTCGAAGCCACGATCGCCATAGTTACTAAGCTACCCGTCAAAGGCCCGCCCTCCTCGTGACATCAACGCACGGCCATTACAAGATCTCTCTATCTCTTTCACTGTCTCTTCTCTCAAACTTTTGTCTCTCTTTGAAGATTTAAGCTCCGCTCAGAGGAAGCCCCAGACTTTTTTCCTGTTTTTTCGAATTTCCTCTTTCCTCTGCTGTTTCCGTGCTGCTGTTTGTTGCCCGCCGCTGATTTTTTCAGCCGGTCGGGTTTCTCAACCCTTTTCAGTGGCTTTTGCGGTTCTTGCGGCTTGTTCTGATCAAACTGACTCCATGCAAAACCAACCTCCTCGTTTGAAGAAGAAGAGAAGACAGAAAAAAAAAATTGTACAAGCTGCAGCACATTTTTTTCAAAGGGCAAAAAAAAAAAAAGAAAAAAAGAAAAGTTTTTTTTTTTTTTTTTTTTTTTTTTTTTTTTTTGGGGGGGGGCGTGTGTATTTTACACTGAATTAATCTGTTTTGGAAAGTGATTTTATTTGTTTGAGGTTTGCTGTAATGGGGAATGGTTTACAGAACTTTCTCATCTTTATGTAATTTAATTTTATTGCATTTTTACTGTGTATGAAAATGGTTGTCCTTTGTGCCAGTTTTGTACTTTATGGACGAGGCAAAGGGAAGCTGCCTTGACTTTTTTCTGTGGTTTGATTATTCGAAAACTACGTTTACCTGTCAATTAAGAAAACCACATGAATCTTGATTCTGTAAAGAATCCTCTCATCTTTGCCTGAAGGTGTATAAAAACTATAGATATCAATATATATATATATGTGTATATATATATATACATATATATGTATGTGTATATATATATGTGTGTGTATAATATACATATAAAATAAATACACGTTCATACGTACATATATCTTTATGTATATGTATATATTTATGTGTATGTATATAAATCTATATATACATATATATATAGGTATATACATATATATGTGTATGTATGTATGTATATGCGTGTGTGTGTTAGCGGTGCTTTATTGGACTGTAGTTGAAATAAAGCCCACACGTTGGACCAGCTGGAGCTTTTATTTTCTTTACTAAAGTACATTCCATAATCTGCTGTTTATTTTTGCTGCTTCTGCTGTGTTCTTATTGTCTGATTTTATTTTAATAGAGAATAAATTAATAAAACAGTTTTAATATGAAGAATTATTTACTGAAAGTCATGGTTTGTTCAGTTCTATTAGGTGTGTTCAGCCGCTCCGAGGATGCACTGGATGGTAAACCGATCAGAAAATGTGCACCGATCCAATCCTGTTCTCAGAGCGTTCAAATAGCTACTTGGGCTCGACAACAATAGATCTCCCCACCATTAAATGCGTTTTAAATGTGACCATCACAGCTAAATTTCTCCAAAAAGGACATTTAACACAACATAATTATATTGGATATGAGTTTAGTAAATTTAACTTGATTTGAATGACCATTTAATAAAAGTAAAATCTTTTAAACTATTTATAAAGAGTTAACAGTCTGCCTCTAAGCTAGGAAAAATAAATTGCTTAGTTGTTTTAAACATGGAGACATCGGAAAAGAGTAGAAAAGTATAAAAAGAAATCCTGTTTAAACGCTCGATCAAACTTTTCATGGTTTTCTTTGTAAAAAAAGGTAATAGATTGCAACAGTGATGATATTTACATGACTTATTCAGGTGTCAAAGATGTAAATTCCTATCACAATGAAGTCATTTTTATATCTTGGAATGGGTATATTTATGCAAATATATACATATACTGTATATTTATGTATATTATGTATTTAAGCTGAAGAACACTGTCTAGTTGAAGCTATTTACATTTACAGAGGGAGACATTATCTAGCGGTCTATAAACAGGACTGTAGTCACAGACACTTCAAACAAACCCAATTTATAATCTTTGCTTGTTGAAGCCTATTTATCCTACTTTTAAATAGTTTTTTTCTTAACTCCAAATGTAATCACAGAGTATGTTTTTATCTATGCTACGCTTTCCTTCATTTAATAAAGCTGAAATGTTTCTTATTTGTGAGAAGGAGATTTAGGAAAAGTTAATGTTTCTAGCACTGCTGACGGTTAGCTGACGGCTAACAAGTTGTTACAGTAATATCTTTAAAATGCCACTACTCAAAAGAACAGGGGAGTTATTGCAATATTACTGCCTATCTTCAAGAAACTCTTTAAGACCCAGGTCTTCAGGATATCTCCTCCCTTAACACTTGTAGCCTGTCTATCTATCTCCACACTTTCCTGCCCAGTTTGACCCAGTTTGACTATTGATTTCCCTCTATGCAGCTTCTTTTTAGCTTTAGCTTTGCTTTTAACTGTAACGTATCTAGATTGTTAATCGTTTTGGAAAAAATGGTCTCCTAAATGCATAAATGTATTATGTACTCTGGATCTTCTCTACTACAAAGGTTGGAAAAACGTAATTACATATGTAACCATAGACGATATGAGGAAGGATGAACAAATTTGGATCTCATTAATGAAAGACTGAACAGATTCCTGATTTTCATAAAGACTGTCCGGGTTTCCTAAGCTCAACTCAATTTAGTTCAGTTTTTTTTATATAACTACCAAATCACCATTTATCCTATCTCCTCAGAGACACAGGCAAATTCAAGCCAATCACAAGCTTATGTTCTACACTTCAGTGAACTCTAAAAAAAAAAGCCTTATTGTCACATCAATAGATATTAATATGTATTAATATTATACATTTAAACATAACTCATTCTATTCCAATCACACTCCTTTTATTTACAAACCTCAATTAACTGAACTTAATAAACCAACAAACCTGACTTTGGCTCTTTTACAATATAAAATATAAGATATATATATATATAAGTCGGTTAGACATCAATGTCAAGTTGAAAATTACTTGTTTATTCACTAACTCATACTTTTTTTTAACTTTACTTAAAACATTTCAGTAGGTTTTCCATGTGCTGGTATGACACTTGTCAGTAGTTAGAAGGTAACTTTTAATTTAAAGTGGTGACATATGGTGACTCTTGAACTTGATATAAAAAAACACTTGAAAACCCTTATTTTCAACATAGATACAGAACTGAAGTGTTATAATTTAAAGTTATAATTTTAGTTTCTGAATTCTAACATAACATGGATGCCTCTGTTGAACATTAATGTTTAATTTATGCCATGACACAGCTTAATTATTCTAATTAAGTTGGGCAATATGAACATTTTTGCTTTACTTTTATCAAAGGACTCACCACAGCCTCAGTCCCCTGTAATTTACAGCCTTCACAAAGTGGAGGGTGAGAACATGAGGATTGTACTCGGGGAGTTTAAACCCACAATTCAGAAAGTTCAAATGTAGTTAATTTAGTTCTACACAAAACAATACAAAAGAACCGGAGGATCAACAATTTACCAATGGTAAGTCTTACCTATAGTGAAGCTAAGTTTCCATATGTTTTTGAAGGTTTATTTGAAATGATACCAGTCGTTTTTTTTATTTATTTACCCAATATGGTAAATGTCCATTGTATTTTTGTTGGCTGTATATTACAAGGTATCATGAAGCAAAGGTTTCGTGCCCAATCCCAAAGTTGTGAAGTTCTGCATCTCTTCACAACTTTGGGTTCTTCAAAGCAGTATCAGGCCTTTGGATGTCCTTAAAAAAAGACATGGGTCAGACATATTTTCAACTAATGTTAATAAAATAATGTTTTATTAGTAGGCATGTGAATAGAGCTGTTAACATTCCTACTTAATCTTTATACAGCATGGGTTTAAAAAAAATCTTTTATAGTCCCGTATGTAAGAAGTAGAGTCTTGAATTAAACTGCGTATTTGTGATTTGACACCATATATATACATTTGAATTGAATTGAAAAGTGGCAGGTCTATGTCAGTTGACAGTATTGTTTTGGTTCTCTCTTTCATGACGTTTTTGTGCTTTGAAGGATATAATTATGAAATTAATTCATCTTACTTAGATGTTTTATATAGGCTAAAACCTGATTACCTTTAGGAACTGAAAATGCTGCACATTTGAAACATACTGATTTGCAACACAGAAGATACTTTCAGATATTTCTGGAAAAACACTGTTTGCAGTTCCGTTAGTCGCTCGTTTTAACATATTTCGTATGTCATCAGGAAAATGAACCGTTATTCTGCTTGTTTTCAGTTTACAGTTGAGCAGAACGCAGATCAGAGAGAGGACGTTTGGTTATCCTCAGCGGCACTCTCTTTGTCCTGTTTGGGTTTGTCTGTCTTTGCTGTGTGCTCCTCATCCGTCCGTTTGTCCCACTGTGCTTTCTCTATGTCCATCTTCTGCATCCTGCCTTCAGCTCTGCTCTCTTCTGGGCTCGTCTTTGCCTAGATGATAGTTATTTCTCTCTCACATCTTTCATTTAAACATGTTCAATTAAAATCTGAGTGATATTTTGTTACCTGCTCGGAGATTTTGGAATTCCCGCCTAAAAACATTGTGTTCCTTAAACAAAACACAAAGTCTCAATTACTAAGAATATTTCTCATGCAAAAGGGTGACAGAGTGAAAGACTTACGTAAAACCTATGTCACGGGAAATGTCAAAGCTCTCTTTGTCCGAGGCCTGAGGCTTCTCCTTCTCCTTCTTGAACCTGACAGTGAATTATCGGTGTTCAGTCTATCTGTGTGCCATCGAGCATGCAACATGAACGAAAAACCATTTAGAAGAACATCGGCCCTACTTGATGATCAGTATCACCGCTGCAATCAATCCGAAGACGGTCAAGGCCAGAAAGACCCCCAAAACGATGACCGCAACTTGATTTGAGGAAGAACTTTGAGGTCTTTGCTCTATATCGAAATGAAGCTCCTCCCCGAACACAAGGGCCAGCTCTGCCATGACGGCAGCTGATTGGCTCTGCAGTTTCCTGGACGATCAAACAGAAGAATAAGAATGTTGACACCAAGAAAAAGGCATGTATACTAAAAAAAAATGAAAAAAATCGAAATCTTACTCTGTGACTTCCTCAGAAGAGACAACTTCACTTCCATCCAAAGCAACAAAGCTGACCAATGACCTCGCAGATTCCCTCGAGTATGAGGTCCCTCCGTTAGCGCTGGACACCTGGAGGACGTTCACGGTCCAGGCCAGGACTTTACTTAAAGACCTGAGAGAAAAAAGGATTGTGTACTTTATCACATACAATTACGTTTTATTTACTCACAGCAAATATAGCCTTACGGCAAATTCAATTAACAAAATCTTAGGCCAGTAAAATGGATTTTATTCAATTCCAAATTGATCGTATCAGTACAAAACCAATAAAAAAAAGTTTTCTAACCAAAGAAAACAAGAGATATCAAAACTTCCTGTCTTGAGCATCCACACAGTGAAAGAAACTGCTAAAATAACTCAGATACCAGTGGAGAAACCTCTGAAAGACCAGTGAGGAAGAGTGGCCATCTACCAGGACAACTTGCACCATGGCAGCATTACTAAACGTACCCCTCCAGCTCTGAAACCTTCTTTTCCACGGTGTTGGCGGGCTGGTTTAAGGAGATGGTCACAACGTCGTCGCTGCTCGCGCTTCCCTGGACCGTCACCTGACGCAGAACAAAAAGGCCGTAACCAAGGATAACACAGACAAAACTCGACAGGCCTGGCTACCCAAACTGAGAAACAACATTAGAGAGGAAGGATTCAAGAGAATAAACCAACCAAAACGAACTCTCCATGGTTGTGTTCTTGAGGATTTATGGGATTTTCATTTTAAATTGGGCATGGGACACTGAAATGGACACTGGTGCATCGTGCAATAGAAATAAATGTCTACAATTATACATTAAAGAGGAGCTGCGATAGACTAAAATAAATCGAGAGGTTGATTCAGCAGATGTGAGGAAAGGGATGAGATAGCGGGGAATATTAGAAAAGGATAAGAGTTGCATGCAAAATTCTATGTCTATGCATTCTGTTCAAAATGTCAAAATCTGTTTACAGTGTAACATACAGTATTTCATTATTAAGAAACTTTAAAACGTGTGCACTTGAGTGGACATCTGGGGTAGTTCTCGGATAAACACGTTTTGGACAAAAAATAAATGTTCATATTGTTTTATGCCAAAAACACTTTGGAAAAAAATCCTGACTGAAATGCTCAGAATTCAGGCATGCAAAGGTTCCGAAAAAAAAGTGGAGTCCTATTAGAATCAATGCTTCGTGGCTAAAGGTGAGCAGAGATGACTAAAATAGTCACCTAGAACAAGAACAAGGATCCATCACAGTGGCAGACATTTAAGATAGAGTCCCAAATACAAAGAGTTGGGCTGAACCTGGCCCTCACACTATTCGTTTGGATGACAAATCAGTTCATCCAACTTCCAGCCAATAATGTTTTTCCACAATATGGAAGCTCATAGAAGTTACTGAAGCAGTTTAAATAAACGGGTACATTCTTTGAACCATGAAAATAACATCCAACGAGCCAAAAAAAGCCACAGCTTTAATGCCTAGAGCCCTTAGACTGTCTACACATAGATTTGGAAGTATGTATTTATTCATTATTTATATGAGGAAACAGTATGTTCAGCCTTTAGAAATTACCTCCACTGTGGCCTCAGCAAAAAGTCCATGAGGGTCCGTGGCCTTCACCTTCAGTTCAGTTGTTTCTCCAGCTACGTCCAGTGCGGAGACCACATAAACAAGACCCGAGTCTGGTTCCACATCGAAAGACGGACTACTGTCTGACAGACTGTAGATCAGCTGGTTCACATCGCCAAAATCTGGATCCAAAGCCTAACGGTAAACACAAAGGACTGATGCATTTCGTGTTTTCACCACTGTTTCTTTTGGACCCAGCTTGCATACTGGATAACTTTGGATGTGTTTTATGGCTAACCACCTTCCGTATCAAACTCAAATTTTTCTCACAAACCAGAATTTGATAAAAGGTTGAGGTCGGTTTACCTTGACCTGGATTACGGGGGTTTTATATGGGGCGATGCTGTACACAGAGGCTTCATAAAGCTCATCGGGGAATAGTGGAGACTCATTCACATTTTCCACATGAACTCTGACCTGAGAGAGGCAGAGAGACAATATCGATGTTGAGGATTAGCACAAGAATGACACTTTTTAAATTCTCAAAAAGGCATGTTTGTAGTTTTTAAATATAACTAGACAAAATGATGCTACACATTGTGTTGAAATGCTCAAAATACAATTAAAAAACATGTTATAGCTCATGTTAGTGTTAAGCAAATAAGATTTTAAAGCTTTATACTGTTGCTATGGCGGATGTAGGAGGTGTCCGTGTGTCTCTGGCCTCCACATCCAGGATGAGCCACTCCTGCTGTTCTCTGTCCAGCTCTTCTGTGGTCAGGATGACACCGTCGCTGTCAACCGAGAACAGGTCGGTGTGCGTTCTCAGTTCGTAGGCTACGTCGTAAAGGTCGCTCCCCGAAGAGGCCAAGACCCGCCCCACGGTCACCCCTGCCGGCAGATTCTCCGACACGCTGAAGTTGTAAGAGGAGCTTTGGAAGGCCACAACCTCCACCAAACTGGCAACCCTCAGGTTTATCACCACACGAGCTGCGGAAACAACACAACACAACACGATTAAATAGCTTTATCTTGCAGTCAGAGATGTGCAAAAGACCATTGCCTCCAAAAAAACAACAACAATATTTATTCCTAATGTTTTGAGACTGAGGGGTTCACTTTTAAAGAGATAAGGCATTTATATATAATCCAGTTTGTATAATCTATCTTTAAAAACACAACAACAAAAAAATAAGCTATTGAGGCTAAAAGGTATAGAATATGCAAACAGCTTAATAAACATAACCGTAGTAAATAAATGAAGCACCTACTTCAGAAGAGGTTTATTAGTTATGATAAAACCCCTACAGATGGCAGTGGTTTTCAACATCCTGGAAAAGGGCACATGCTATCCTTTTTTTTATTGATCTACACTGCCTCCCTATAACTTCTCTCATAAAGATCAGATAACAACCTGCAAAAGGATTTTTAGGTTTGCGAGAGGCGAGGAACACCTTGGAAAGGACGGTGCATTATAGGGCACAGACGATAATAAGCAATACAATGTTCCAGTTTTTTTTTTTTTTACCTTGTACTGTTTAGCATTATGGCAGCAGAACTGAAATCTGAGTACCGTGCTATGCTGAACAAAATTGCTCTGCCAAGGGAGGCTTTGTTAGTGAGAAGCCCCCCTTGATTACCCAAAACTTCTTTATTTATTCATTTTTTTTACCAAACTTCCGTATGTCCAATAATTCCGAGCCTGACAGAGGGACAGGGGGGAGGGAAGAGTAGTGGAAAGGAGAGAGATCCTTTAGAAAGGGAGAGAGGGGGGATAGAAAAAATTAATAAATATATATATAAAAATAAAAATAAAAAAAGAAGGAGAAAGAAAGACAACAAGACCATATGACCAGCTGTTATGTCTGCGAAAAGGACACTGTTCCTTGTAGGCAGTTCAATTTTTTTTTGTTTGTTCCATTTTTCCTGCAAACACATCCCTATATTGCCCTTTACCATATCCCCTCAAATATCTATTACATGCTTCAGTGGTGACTGGAAAATATATGATCGTGTTACAATTGGGCTGCACGTCCGACAAGATTAAACATTTTAATATTGCTGCATTTGTTTAATAGAAGAGCTTGACTTGACCTGTTTCTCATGGCTGGTGTTGGGTGCATGTTTGTGTGTGGGGTAATTTAAACAACATAATATTAGATGTTTGGTAATGTTGCCAAGCCAGGTTTTATTATCTATCTCTGTTTCTAACATACATGGGCTCTCTGTGGGTACTGCGGATTCCTCTCATCGTCCAGAAACATTCCCGTTTGGATCATTATAGACTTTAAATCGCCTGTAGGAGTGAGAGTGAGTGTGTGTGAGGTTGTTAGTCTCTGTGTAACCCGATAATGATATAGCAACCTGTACAAGGTGGACTCCACATATCACCCAATTATAGCTGAGATAGGCTCCAGTCCCTCTGAAGCCCTCCTAAAAATGAGTGGTATAGACAGTGTATAGATTGGTGGATGGATGGATGGATGGATGATAGTGTGACTTGGTTGTCTCTGTGTGTTCCTGTGATGGATAGCGACATGCTAAGAGTGTACCCCGCTTCTCGCTCAATGACCGCTGAAATAGGCCCTTCCCAACTTACCCGTGGAGTTGAGAGGAGGACGACCATGGTCTCTGGCCATGGCGGTCAGCGCCAGTGAGGTATCTTCCATTACATCAGTGAGGTTAGAGGTCAAAGTCACAGCTCCGGTCTCATTGTTTAAGGCTAGCAATGGAGAGTTTCCAGCGATGAAACTGCAAAAATAAATAGATGAAATGAATAAAGACTTTCAGCATTTACACCCCTTGAGGGTTGAATAGTGGTTCCCAGCTCCCTGGGGAAGACAACCTGAACCATACATTTGAACTGACCTGTAGGTGATGCGTGAATTGTCCCCGATGTCTTGGTCAGTGGCGGACAGCGTCAATATCAGCTTCCCCTCCTCGGCATCCTTTATCAGGATACTGCTGACATAGCTGCTGGAGCTGAACTCAGGCGGGTTGTCATTGATGTCATCCAGGCTCACTTGGATGGTGGTAATATTCTGGTGTTCAAAGTTAGGTGAAGTGCATTCTCATATGAATAAGGTCTATTCTTATCGTGTTAATGAGTCTAATACCATTTTTTACACTTTTCTATGAGACATTCGTGGTACTTAACAGTCTCTAACTGACAGATTGCTATAACAATTACAGGTTAAGACATGAGTAATAGTAGAGTCAGTACAAGCTTGTCAAACAGGATATGTTCCTGTTTAGGAAAAGAAACAACTTAAACTTTGTTTGCGACAACTGTAAAGTAGTTTTTTTAACATTTATTTTACAGTCACTGTGTATTTTCTGGTAGTATGAAGCCACAATATTCTGTGGCTTCATACTACCAGTCTATTCAATATTCTGCGTCAATGTGTTTTAGCAACATTTTGTAATCAAAACTGTTCCTGCCTCTCTCCGTCTGCCTTACCTCTCGTTTTGGGATTCCGTTGTCTGAAGCCTTAACAACTAGGTCGTAAGTTTCCCTGCTCTCCCGATCCAAACGACCAATGGCCATCAACATCCCGTTCTGCAACAAAGGACACAATCAAACAAACTTTGCTCATGTGTTTGTGTTCATGCATTTAGCAGACGCTATCATTCAAAGTGACTTACAATGTAGATGCAATATTACAGTTAACATCAAAGCAAACAAAAAGCTACAAAGAGGGAATTCACGAGTAAGACTGTACAGTGCAATCGCCAAACGCAGGAGTTGTAGCCTGGACCAGAAGCTGGGTGGAATGTTGGATTAGATATGGCCTGATTTGACTGATGCTTAATAATGCAAAGTGATATGATCGAGTTACAGAGGCAACATGATCTTTAAAAGTCAGCTGGTCATGACACCAAATTTCTAGCTACATTTAAATGGACAAAGAGATAGAGATTCAGTTTTGATGTAAATACTGTTGTTTATGGTTGGTTTCAGCTGGAGATGATTGGTTTTCATCCATTTTGATATGTCAGGGAGACAGTCTGAGATACTTGCTGAGACCCACGGTGGTCAGTAAGTCAGCCCACAGAAGTCCTGCTGCGTGACATAGAGCTGGAAATTGTCGGCATAGTGGTGGTATGAGAGGCCATGTGATTGGATGATCAGGCCCATTGAGGTGGTGTAGAAACCCTTTCCAAAAATCTTTTTGAAGATGATGGAAAATGTTGTTTTAAAAAAGTCAAACTGTCATTGATTATAGATTCAGGGCTGACAATTGAAACAATTTCAAGTATTTATTTGTTTATTTTCACATGAATTCACAGGAATTCAAAATATTAGAATACTGTGAAGTTTGGCAGGGCATGAATGTTTTACTGTGCCACACATTAATCATCTACTAAACTCAAACATTAAAATGCTTCAGTTTGATTCAATATGGGGAAGAATGGAGACATGATGGCCAGAAGACCATCATTAGTGCCCTCCATAGGATGGGTAAGCCACAAAAGTTAATAAATTGTGGGCCCTGAATCTATAATCTATGAAAGTTTAACTTTTTAAATGGAATTATGGAAATTAAACAACTGTTCCATGATATTCTATACTTTTTTTGTTTTCGTGTAAAGGGTCTGTATATGGCAAAGAGAAGAGGTTCCCCTACTGAACTGTGGGGTACCCCTGTGGTGAGGCGGCGCTCTCCAGAGGTGTGACCTAACCAGTATCCTTTGAATGACTGACCAGTGAGTCGTTATCTGGAATAAATGAGTAGGAACAGGGTAGGGCGGCTGCAAGTGAGAAGATTAGACATACCACTCTCTGTGAGAGGGGTGTGATGTTTGCTTGTTTGCACCGTTGTCAGTAATAAAATAAAGGCAAAGATGTCTGCCATCAGATTTGTAGCTAGGGGTAGAGGGTTAAGTCGAGTTTTTTATATGGAAAACAGTTTTTTGGGGTACTAGTGGCATTGTGAATCTTTTCAATCCAGAAATCCTTTTCTGCATTAGTGACACTGAATGAGAATACTGACAGTAGTGGTCAGAATTTTGTTAACCCTGAAGGATCTATTGATTCATGCTATTTCCTTCCTGCAGCTCTGAGGTTGATGCAGCGATATGAGTGTGTGATTAAGCCATGGGTGGGACCCAGAGGATCGAGCAGGGTCAGAGGATCGAGGACACAGGCTATCCAAACAAGAGCTCAGCGTGGACAAGAGGGGTTTGTGAACCCTTTAGCCTTATGGGAGGAAAATGTGTTTGGATGGGAGAGCCGAGGCAACACAGAGAGGAGAAGCGGGTGGGTGACAGGTTGCGGAAGGAAACCATTGGGGTGGAAGCAGAGGGTCTTATCATATGAGGCGCCGGGTAGGACAAAAACAACGTTTTCTCTCACGCACACCACTAAAACGGCTTTTCCGCTCACAGACTCAACTATGTGTAGTTTGGCTCTAGCACACGTGACTGTTTTATCTCATGCACACTTTTAAAATGGCTTCTCTGCTCTTAGACAACTTTGTTTTCTCTCTTACACACAGCTACATGTAGTTTGGCTCTCACACACAGCCATGTTATGAATGGATAACAAAACATTTGTGTGTGTGTGTGTGTGTGTGTGTGTGTGTGTGTGTGTGTGTGTGCACTCCGCTGCTCTACAACAAAACATAATAAGTAAATGTAATATATCAAGAGCCATTAGAAACTGTGTTACCATTCTTAGTTAACTATGGTTACTAAGAATTTTCAATAAACTTGTCAAAACATATAGCTGCCAACATTTTCTTGTATCCTAAGACACTATAATATTAATAACTAGATACTTTGATTTTGAGTAAGTAATAAAGGGTACTTTTTATTGGTTAACTAAAAAAAATTTTCACTGTATGTATCACAGTAACTTACAGCTCCGTTTTAGAGTGACTTTAAACTAAATCTTTTAAAAACTAGAACATACGCATAACATTTCTTACACAGTGCATAAATGTCCAGGACAATTGTTTTTACTGGAAGTTGATATAAGTCCAATTACTAAAATTGGAAAAATGCTTAGGACAATGTCTGCCAACATGTTATTTGTCTTTAACACTCCCACAACAAGGCACATGTTAAATTTTTGAGTGTCCCGATTTAGAATAATGAAACTTATTGTTTCTTATTTTGAAGTAAAACTACGCACTTATCAGAAAAAATAAACATGGTTCTGCTGTCACGGGCAGGGAGGTAAATGCAGTCCCACATTGTAGAAGTGCTTTTTTCCCCCCAATTTTCTCAGATTCATTGTTTTAAGCCTCACCTGTCCGAATGTGAAGAGAGGGTGTGGGCTTGCAAGGGAGACATTGACCTCTCCATTGAGGCCAATGTCTGCGTCAGTAGGCACGATGGCGAAAATCTCTCCAGGTTTCTCCATTGAATAATCACCCTCGGAGATCTGCAAGGGGTCAGGGATGCTCGGGAACTGCGGAGTATTGTCATTGTAGTCCAGAACTGTAATGTTGAGCTGAGCTGTTCCTCTCAGCCCGTCAGTGGGCTGATCCACTGCAACAACCTAGAAAAAGAATCAAAATACAATGATGACAAGCATTCTTCCTGGAACATTTTAAACGATTTTCTTCTCAGACTGCTCTTAAACCCTCTTCTTCTGAGATTATTTCTAAACATAATCTATAAATGAAAATATTTTTCTTGCACATGCACATCATCATGAGATAAAAGCCCTGTGGAAGAAACTGCTCAAGACATTTCGGTTTCCAATTTGGCCACTTAAGAAAATCAAGGTGAATCTTTATTGTTTAAAAAATGAGGAATTAACAATAGATTGATTTTACAGTTAATATTTTCAACAATGCAGATATACAGTTTTCTTGGCACCATAGCACCAGTTGTAGTCAGTGCTATGATCTTATGAAATACTGTCATTAAAATAACAGTCTTGAAAACAAATATAAACAAGTTATATGCATTACTTTATTTTTTTCATGAGTTATATGGAGAAAATAAATGGATTTTATGGGAGGGTTGCACGTCCCAAAAAACAGATAGGCCTATACGCGGCAATGTGTAGTCTTACCTGCAATATGTAGCTGTCTTTTGTCTCTCTGTCTAAGGAAACATCTCTCCTTAAGGAGACAACGCCTTGCATGTTTATGTCAAAAGTATCATTGGCATAGAGGAAGTGACCTTTGGTAAATCCACCCTGAGCAGAAAGATAAGTGTTTTAAATGCAGTATCAGTTCACTTAAAAACAAGATGAGACTTTACTGGAAAAGTAGTCATATTAATAATGAGATGGCAACAAATATATATTATTATAAAACAGAACTTTATAGTCTAAAAAATTGATAGTTAAATTCATTGTTTCTATTTAACAGAGATCTAGCGAGAATTCAAATATGGTTCTGAATCTATTTGTAAAAATGGTAATAAATTATATATTCTGAGTACTCAAGACTAAGAATGTGCTTTTAAAGGCAACTACAACCACATGATGTCACTAACCTCATCCCTGTCTGTGACTTCCAGGGTCAGGATGGACGCCCCGGCGGCCAGGTTCTCGGAGACGGCGACGTCGTATCTGTCCCGACTGAATTCTGGCGGGTTGTTGTTCACGTCCTTCACCTTGACCGACACGGAGCTATTCCCGACCAAAGCAGGAACCCCTCCGTCAGAGGCCTGGACTGTCAAAGTGTACACCTGGACCTCGCTGTTGTTTAGAGACTCTGCCAGCCGCAGGGTTCCGTTGGAAGCGTCCAGCTCGAAGACGGGGCGCTCGGACGGGGGAGTTTGCCGGGCGATACTGTAGGTGACCCTTCCATTTGCTCCCTCGTCAGGGTCTACGGCTTCTAAAGTTAACAAGCTTGTGAGAACTTTTTCGGTTTCCAACACTTCAACCTGATAGTCGGCCTGTAAGAACTTCGGAACGTTGTCATTGATGTCAGATATTTGGACCAGCAGGGTGGACGTGGCGGACCTTGCTGGACGACCTAGATCTTCAGCCAGCACTTCCAGGCTGTAATTGGCTGTGGTCTCCCTGTCGAGTGGGCCGGCTACACTTACAATCCCAGAAACACGATCAATGGCGAACGCCCCCGCTCCTCCTTTGAGCGAGTATCTGATTTCCTTGTTGAAGTTGCTGTCTTTGTCTGTCGCTGAGACGGTGGTAACATTGGCCCCTACTGCCGTGTTCTCTGGGATAGATGCGTGGACGGTTGTATTGGCAAAAACTGGAGCGTTGTCGTTGATATCAGTGACATGAACCTCAACCACTGCACTGTCGCTGGTAGTCCCATCAGAGATGGAGATTTCCACGGAGTAGTTATGTGGAGCCTCGTCATAGTCGAGCTTCACCCTGGTGGTAAATTCACCAGTGGGGGAAATGGAGAACTTGTCCGATTCTGTTTGAACTTGGAGGTTTGGAGCAATCTCACCAAGTGCAAGAAAGTTAACCTTAAAAACAAACAGATGATCATTGGGATTGTAAACTTCATAGCTAATTTAACAAATGATGCAGCAACAAGTTTAGAAAGCCAGTTGATACAACATTTCCTTTGAGATCAATTAGCTAACATTAAGAATCTTTCAGTCATTCCAAATGCAATTTTAAATTCACCTTAGTAATGAAAACTCCTGGGTCCTGCTCCTCCTCAACAGTGCCCTGGTAGACCTTTTGTAAAAACTGAGGTTTTGAGTTACCAGGAGCACGAATGGTCACCTGCGCTGAAGAGGAACGGGATACGATTCCCCCTACAGAAAAGACGAACAAGGAAATGATTGGAACTGAGTTTGATAAATCGGTGTACATTATGTAAACTGTCTGGTCAGAAAAAGAAGGGCCCCATTTTGTTGGGTCACCTTTATATTTGATTAATACACAAAGCTTTCTACAGCATATTCCATAGATTCTAATTGGGGTTCATTCTAAGATTAATTGGGACATAATAAATACAATGTGCAGTAAGACTATATGGTTTCTCTTTGCCAACAGTCTTTAAATATTATTTGTCAAAGGACTATTTAATTGCATTATCCTCGCAAATAGTTTCAATAGTTTAAAACTACTCTACTATGAAAAGTAACCTTGTCTCAAAATTGTAAAGTTATTTTGTATTTCTTTGGATCAAATACATTTGAAATAGTTTACATTTTTTAAGCTTCTAAAAATAATTAAGAAAATACCAAATACCTTTGTCAACAGAACTGAGTATCAACTCATATTTTCTGTTTCCATAGAGTAAGTCATTGAAAATATTTTGAACAGTGATTCAGAACAAATTTGAAATATATAGAGAAATAATTTGTTTTAAACACATGCAAATTACACAAATCTGGTCATGATTAACTCTGAATTAAAATTTAGACCGTCATTTTTGAAAGGAGATTGATTATGGTAGTTGACAATGCAGGAAATATGGAATTCAAATCTACCATCTCTGGCTGTTATGTAAAGAGGGAACTCCAAAGACGTATCTTCCACCAGTGGAATGGTTTTAGCAAGAGTGATATCTCCAGTGTCTTCATCGATTGAGAAGTACTCGTCACCATTCCCAAAGTCAATTGAGTATTTGATGGCTCCGTTTAGATCAGCATCTGGATCTTCTGCCTTAACCTTTAAGTTTTGTAATGCAAATTAATATCTTAACAGGGCTGTTTTAAACATCACAAACATGTCATAAGAATAACTAGTCAAAAAGTTATTAAAGGGAAAAAGAAAAAAAAATTAAAAAATGAACAATATATGAGAAAGAAATCTTGCTTGTGACAACAGGATTAACTCAAGCTCAAGTTCAAGATGTACAATCCCAGATCTACTGATAGTTATTGCATTATTTTCTTAGCAGTGGATGGCAAAGTGGTTTCTACAGCAAATATGCAAACACTCTGTTGCTTTATATAGTTAATAATATAAAGTATATAGTAAATAATAGGTTTTTAAATGTAGTCGTATCACTTTATAGAATCTGTTGTGCTGACCTACATCCTATTTAGAATATAAATAACGTAGAAATAATTTGTAAAAGCTAGATGAAATAAGTCAATAACACATCATGTAAATGTGCGAATGTGTTTCTGTTACTTACCTGAATCAGCAACATCCCCACCGTCTGATTTGCGAACACCTTTCCGTCGTACGTGTCACTGGTGAAGACGGGACTGTTGTCATTCTCATCTAACAGGGTCACGCTGACTTGTGCTGACACATTACGGTTGGGGTGATCTCTCTCGCTGGCTTCAATCTTATCATCGGTGAGAAAACACCCAAGGGTTAGGATAGCAATGTATTTAGGCCCATAGAACACACAGAATCTGCTTCAGTAAAAACTATCATATCTGATAAAGTTCATAGTTAATCTGTCTGGTCATCTGTTCAGAGATGGGTTTCAACACGGAAGCAGCAATAAGTGTACATTTTTTAAGAAATCAACAGGAAAACAAATAATAACTTGTATTTATCTGTTTTTCTTTAACTCAAAATGCATTCATGCACTATTTTTCCTGTGTAAATAAAGAAAAAGAGGTCTTGAAAGTCACCTTAAAATTAAATGGTGTAATTTTACTCAACATTTCCTTTATAGGAATTTAAAATCTGGTATTCAGTTCACCTGAAACACAATCCTTTCCGTGGCTTCTCTGTCCAGAGTTGTGGAGTTTTTCACTCTGACTGTCCCATCAGGACTAATAGAAAAAGGGGCAGAATCTGGAAGAATCTTGAGAGTTCCCACAAATCCTCCCTGAGGGACGAGTAACATATTAGATTATATTAGAAAAACCCAAAAAAGTTAGCATAAACTTTGAAATGCACATGATGTATATACAGTAATGTGTTAGTGTTGTTTGATGTCAAATCCACCTGGTCCAAATCAGTGACGGTGGCTTTCAAAAGAAAAGCATCGACAAGCGAATTTTCCAGGAGAGTTACAACGTAATCGGTCTGATCAAACTCTGGAGCGTTGTCATTCACATCTTCAACCGTGACAGAGACCACAGCATCAGCCGTTTTCAGATTGTTATCGGTTTGGGCCGCCTGTGGGGAGACAAGGCTACAGTTGATCTCTCAATAGTGTGCACTTCAGTAAGAATGCTGAGCTTTAGTGCTTTGGATTTTGCATAAATCTCAATTCTAGAGTCTGCTTCTGGAGTCAACTTGCTATAAATAGACATATTTCATAGCATTTTGGCTCATAGGCTAAATGCGTGAAAATGCACATCTCTACAATGACAAAAATCTATGCAATATAGAACTACAATCATGCAATTTACTATATATAGTTTCAATAAGGTGAAAAAAGGCAACAAAAAAATTAACAAGAAATAGTTGGAGTAACTGCTGGAAAGCAATTCGTAGAAATGTCAGTATGAGATACTCTATATCATCTTTTGGATTTCTTAAAAACAAAAAAATTCGAAGTTATTATTCAGAAAAAACCATGCACTTTTTTTCAAGCAATGCAGCAACAGAGGTGCTCAGTAAATTGGTTGAAGACTGAAAAGCTGCAACAGCTGATCGAACTGGCTACCAGACATAAAGGGTGTGGAAAAACAAAAGTCTTTACCTTGATGTTGATAGAGATAGCGCTGCCGTTCATCTCCTCTCTGTCAATTGCAGTGATCAGAGACAGAACTCCACTGTTCTGGTTTATATTAAAGTTTCTTTCATACCTCTCAGGAAACACTGAAAAAACACAAATTCTCTTGAAAACTCTACATATTAAACATATGATATTTCTGAAAGAAAGCTGAACAGGCTTGTAGTCATTTACCAACACTGATGCTATAAATCACTGAGACATTGATTCCAGTGTCTCCATCCTGGGCTTTTATTACCTCAGGTTGAATGGAGTGGAAAAATCCAACCTAAATAGGTAAGATAAATGGGATTAAAATTTTGTCATTCAAATTCATCCATTTTCTATCCCGCTTATTCCAAACGCGGTCTTAGCCGGGCTGGAGCCTAACCCAGCTGTCAAGAGTGTGTGGTGTGCCCTGGACTATTGGCCAATCCATTGCAGGGTCCCACAGAGACAACCAACCACACAAACTTACTCCTGGGGGAAAGTTGGAGTGTCCCATTGACCTAGCATGCATGTTTTTGGACAGTGGGAGGAAGCTGGAGCCAGATAACCGAGCCGCCCCATTCAAACTCAAACGCACCATCTTTTTTGTTTTGTTACAAACTGTCGTGAAAACAACAATTCCCCTGCGATGGACTGGCGGACCATCCAGGGTGTAACCCGCCTTTAGCCCATTGACTACTGGGATAGGCTCCAGTCCCCTCGCGACCCATCAGGGAATAAGTGGTTAAGACAATGGATGGATGGATGTTAAATATACACATTACTATTCATGTCATAAGAAAATATTACATGTTTGTGAAAAAGAGAATTGAAGCAGTATTCATGAGACTCACCTGATTTTCTGGTACAAAGGCCCGGTACAAGCTGTGGCTGAAAGCGGGATTTAAGTTATCAAAGTCCTCAATCCAAATCACCACAGAGGTGGTGTCATTCAGCCCACTGTTGTCCTACGGTCAACAATGGTGAGATCATGTCAATGAATATGGCAGACACAAAATGATCCATGGCATATATTTTGGATCTAAAATAACTGTAATTTTGGATTTTATTTGTTCACTCACCCGTGCAGTCACCTCAAAATTGTATTTATTAACAATATTGTAGTCCAAACGTTTCTTCAAAATAAAAACCCCTGTGTTGGTCAAAAGAAAGTCTTCTGTGGCTGGAACCTTTTGAAAGAAAATAAGAATCCCATTGAGCATAATGCTTTTTGGCAATTCATCAGGTCGATTACCATCTATTTACATTTTTTTCTAAATAGTTAGAGCTTTTAATACTAGCAACATAATCTCTGTGTAGTTCAAGTAAAGACTTAACTGACACTTCAAGTAAGTTAGACTTATTTACTATGCGTTCTGGACTTTGCCAGGACCGCTATTTCAATGACTCAGTTTATAAGCTTTAAAAACAAAGTATGGGCGATGGCCAAAGGGAAAATATGACGTGGTTAGGATGAGAAATAGACCTCCATGGTTGAGATCATGTTTCCTTATCTGCTGAGGCGTGAGCTGTCATGCCCAGGTTGGGAGTGACTTACTATTTCTGATATACTGTGTAAGCTGAACTGAGAGGAGGGGGTGGGAGGAGGAACAATATCTGACGATTTATTTTTCAATCTGCAATCCAATCTGGTACATAAGATCATAACCTGTGGACTATAATAAAAAGAGTCAGAAGAAGCAGCTCAAGTGCTTGTGACACCTTGTCAGAGTAACTTTCTGATACTTAGCGAAGTGTTTCAGACATGTCCAAATGGAAGGCATTGGCATCGGGAAGTAGACAATGTATAGCGCCCACAATCAAATATTACCACTATGATCAAATCACTGTTATTACTGTCACGTATCCTAATAGCCTAAATGATCTTGACTGGTAATATTGACAAACATTTTATAAAAATAGTTCCAAACAATAGTTCCAAAGAAAATGAATGTCATTACAAAGGTATATGTCACTTGGTTGTTTTCTGGAGTGCTGTCTGCATCCACTGCTTTAATCTGAAGAACGGGAGAATCCACCTCTGTAATCTAAAAGAAGGAAAGAGTAGATAACTTATCAATAAGTGTAGCGTGAATATAGGACTTCTTTTTCATCATTATATAATTACATCCTTATTAATCTCTTCTGATTATCCCAGCAGAATGGTAATAAACTGTAAAGTCTGTTGAAGTTTTATTGTAAGAATAATTAAATGGATATTTGAAATCTTGTCATCAATCAGTCAAATTTAAAGTCCCACGTGGCTTTTTTAAATTTCATTGAGTATACTGTATTTACACTGTGTTTTTTCTTTTATCAGTTTCAGCCTGTAAACCCATCCGTCCATCCATCCATCCATCCATCCATCCATCCATCCATCCATCCATCCATCCATCCATCCATCCATCCATCCATCCA